CCAATTTTGGAATCCTACAGTAAATAATCTCCAGATGGATGACAGTTTATATGACTTAATGCAGTCATATAAACATAGTAACATAACGACTTCTGATTCCAAAACTCTTAAATGATAAAAAGCAGAGCTGTAATATTACTACTAAAATAAGCATCTTCCCACAAATTATTTCAAGTTATCCTTTAGAGATTTCAGATTTATGTAAAGATACTGCAGGAAGATTAGTGCTGGACAAAGCAGATGGTCTCCAAACAACTGTGCTCCATCACCTTTCAATACGTGGGGAATTACAACATCCTGAACAGTCTTGGTGCCTAAATAACTGAAGCAGGTGAGAAAGCACATGGCACATGAGTTTAACAAAACTTTAAAATAGAAAAATTGGCAGAAGCAACCTGATGCTTAGAGCAAGGTACTCTTTACAGAATTGACATAGAACAGGATAGTAACTGCAAAGCCAGTGTTCTACCTGACTCTTAGGAGGATCGCCCGTTTCACAACTTGTTCCCAAGTTTCTTCAACTACGATGGATGTGTAGCTAAATTTAATCTATTCGAGTGGCAACCTTTGCCCTGCTACTATTCTGAACAGGATCTCAAAATACAAAAAGCAGGGAGCTGCCAGAGGATTGGAACCCCGGAAGCCAAGGATTTCTAAATCTTGCGGCGTCCTGGACCTCCGTAGTAGAACAGGAGGGTGTCTCTCAATGGCCTTTCCTCTGCACCTGGGCTAGTCTTGCCTCTTGGACCCTCCCCGACGAAAAAGCTAAACCCTGTGCTGCTTCCGGAGCAAACGCCCGCTCCAAATCCGCCGCCCCTGCAGCTAAACCCCTCCCCAGCCAACCCCGCCCTGCACAAGGCCCGGGTACCGCCCCTCTAAACTGCACCTCTGCGCCCACGGCCCCTCCCCCACACCGTGCCTAACCCTAACCCCCACCCACCCGGCCGCCCGGCTCCCAACACGCCCGCTCCCCTGTCCCAGGCCCACAGGAGCAGCGACCCTCGGAGACCCAGCAGCTCCCTCCCTCCGCTCCCCGGCTACACTTTAACCCTTTCGCCGTCCTGGGCCCGCCCTCACCTGAGTCGCAGGCGCGGGTCTCCCAACCCGCAGCGCTTCTCGGCCCGCGGGCTCCCAGACGCGCTCGCTCCCGCAAGGCGTCTCGGTGCGTGCACGCTCCGGGCTCGGGCGGCGGAAGGGGCGGGGTTGCGCGGGGCGGGGCCTGGAGGGTGCCGGGGGCGGGGCCGCGCGGGGTGGGGCCTGGGGCGGTGCGAGCCCGCGCTGCTGGGTTTGGGTTGCAGTTTGCACGCGCCTGGGTCTGTTGGTCTCACCTGCCGTAGAAGCTTCTTCGGAAGAGTGTCTGTAGTCTTTATCTGGCCGCGAACTGAGGCCCATGAATGAGTGAACGCAGTTTTATTAGCCAGCGTTTGCAGAGAGCATACCCTGTACCAGGCACTATGCTAAGCACTTTCTAGCCCCTATCTAGTACTGTATGCTCTTATGCACTATTCCCATCTTACAGCTGAGGAAACTGCAGTTTCTTGAGTTTCAGGGAGGAAAACACAGACCCGGAGCCTGTGCCCCTGCGTATCCCCATATCTTCCTCCTGTCCCTGGGCCCCTGACGTTGGGAAAGAAAGAATACACACGTCGAAGAAATACATTTAAAATTAAACTCGATAACATTCCTCTGTTAAGAATCTAGGTCCCAGGGCACCTGGGTGGCTCAGTCGGTGGCTGTCTGCCTTCGGCTCAGGTCATGATCTCGAGGTCCTGGGATCGAGCCCCACGTCGGGCTCCCTGTTCAGAGGGGAGTCTGCTTCTCCCTCTTTCTCTGCCATTCCCCCAGCTCGTGCTTTCTCTCTCTCAAGTGGTTAGGTAAAATCTTGAAAAAAAAAAAAAAAAAACTAGGTCCCTGGTGCCTGGGTGGCTCAGTCGGTTAAGTCTGCCTTCTGCTCAGGTCATGATCCCTGAGTCCTTGGGTTAAATCCTGCATGGGGTTCCCTGCTCAGCCGGGAGTCTGATGCTCCCTCTGACCCTCCCACCTGTCGTGTTCTCTCTCTCTCTCTCTCTCTTAAATAAACAAATAAATCTTTAAGAAAAAAAAATCTAGGTCCCTTTTTCACTGGGTCTCCTTTAGAACAGCTTCAGACTACTTAATCCGCAACTTCTCCCACCAGTTGTGCAGAGACCATCCTCAGGTCTCTCTACTAGATGGAAACGTGTTGGGGAAGCTGACAGGCCAAACTAATGCTCCTCCCTTGTTGGAAAACAGTGGTTTCCAAAGAAAGCCCATTTTTGCTCCCCTGCTGGCTGCCCACCTGCCCTTAGTTCCTGCCTGTTAGACCACTGGGAGGTTCTTGAATTAGAAACCACCAACTAAAAGGGCAGAGGAACACCATTCCATAGTTGTCATCCCTGAGTTCCCTTATATTGTGTCTCTAACCAGACCAGCGTGAACCAAAGAGTCAAAACATTATAAATTGTAATATTAAAAAAAAAAATTGGGGCACCTGGGTGGCTCAATCCGTTAAGCGATGACTCTTAATTTCAGGTCAGGTCAGATCTCAGGATTGTGAGATAAAGCCCCACTATGGCTCCTGGCTCAGAGGGGAGTCAGCTTGAGATTCTTTCCCTCTGGCCCTCCCTCCTCCCAGCTCACCCAGGTGCGTTCTCTCTCTCTAAAATAAATAAAAATCTTTTTTTAAAAAAAAAATTAACAATCTCAGTAGTTCTCGTAGCTTCACACATACAAACAAGGAAGATGTTTATTAAAAAAAAATATTTATTAATCTTTACACCTGCTGAGTAGCACAAGACTATTAACACTATAACTCACTGAATGTACAATAAATGTTCACATTTAAATAACAGGACAGGGTCAATATTTTCAACCTGTGGGTCAGCTTGAGCATCTCATGAAGTGCTTTTTAGCCCTAGATATCTTGAGAGTTTCTTGAAAGGATAATTCCAAATCAGAAAACAATTCAAGAAGATCAAAACAATAGGTTTTTCCAGAATAATAGGAATTTTACATGATGAAATGTCTATTTATGCGGGCACAAATCAAAGAATAAAAATGTAAAATCTGTATGTAACCTCCTCCAAAATTTTCACACTGCACTGATTGAAGTCTAGAGTGCCAATATGTCCTAAGAGAGGCCACAATATAAACACTGGCTACATACTTTTTTTTTCCATACTGGTCTTCAGATGGCTTATAATCCACCATCTCTTCAAATCCAAGTCCTTTTGAAAATCTATTAACTTGGAATGGACATGCAGAATACCTGATCTTAATTGTTGTTTGGCTTGACTGCACCTGCATCTCTGGTTGATAATATACAAATTAGTTTGAGATCCTTTGCTTATTCCACATAAGTACAAAAAGAGAAAAAGAAAAAACTTAGATGGGAAAGAAACAGAGTCCTTCCAAACTATTTTCTTCTGTGTATTTTACAACTTGAAATAACTGGCATAAAATGAACATTCTGTTCAGTGACAGTTTTCTCTTTTAATCAATAAGTTATTCCTGAGGGAAGGGGAGTTCCTTGCTGGTTCAAATTAAAAAGGACCCAATAGGGCCAAATTTAAGGTGTAAAAATTTAACTGGACCTTTAGCAAAGTCTAATATTCTTCACCTAGCAAGTCTTTCTAGACTGGACACTAGGATATTTACAATCATTACATTGCAGGACTTTGGAACCCAGAGTCTCTGTTTTGTGAGTCAGGGTCAATATTTTCCATTGAAAACATCAACATTACATCTTTGTTACCAAAGATAGAGTCCATCCCTAGTTTCTATACATTTACCAAGTAACTTTCTCAAGTTCTCTTAGTGCCCAGATTTTCAGGGATAACTAAATAAATGAGGTCTCAAAAATAAAGTGCAAAATCTACATATTAGTAAAGTTATTTCAACAGAATCGTTTTTCAAAAAGATGTCTTTACCATAAAGAAGTTACTATACTTTTTTAGTTTATAGAACCAGTTTTTACCCAGAAATGTAAATAAAAAAGATTAGTTAACTTCATTTGAAATTGAACTTACGTCTTTCTGTTCAGGAGTGGTAAGTTCCATCATAGGATAATTACTCTAAAAATGTGTTAGTATGTCACAAAAAGTTGTTAAAATACATACTGATTTCTGTAATGGTTTATGTGTACAATTGGAATGCACAGGAAAAAGGAGGGAAGTGTTTTTCCCCATTGAATTCATAGCCAACAAGACAGCAAACAAGAACACATATAAGAAAAACTATCGCTGAGGCAGATTTTTTTTCCTCCCAAATGAGTGTAAGATGCATAAAGATTGGATTTTTTCCATATCCCTTATAATTACCTTGACATATAAATGGTCCCCACATTCTTATTTTTCTCCCTAAGTGTGAAGCTGGTCATCTTTCCAAAAGGTCCAGGTGAATTACAATATGTATAAGTTAAAAGTGTTAAAAAAAATAAGAAGAGCCACATTTCCAACCAACCTTAAAGAATGTTCATTTTAAGACAGCATGAGAAGTACTAAAATACACTGAATGATATGACAGTCGAATGTATACCTGATAAGAACAAGGAATTTATCCTGTACCAATGAATGGTAAATGGATTCTGCAAGGCAGGACAAGGTTTCAGTGCTTTTCACTTTATTGATATGTAATTATCTTAGTAATTTTTCTTTGTACCGAGATCTTGAACGCCTCCTTAATACAGCACAACCAGAGAATGGGAGGCAAAGCTTTAATGTAGGAGTTTAAATTCTGCTGATATCAAACAAACCTCTTCTCTTACAGGGAGTCTACCATTGTGGAGTAATAAAGTAAATAAAATAAATCAGAACAGGAGGTTCTGGCCTCAGTGGCTGAAGGCCAGCACCTGTACAAAGCACTACCAATAGTAGCCCGACAACAGTTTTCCCAAAGAGGCAAGTTGTTGTTGTGGTTGTTTTAAATCAGCAATAAGAAAAATCTAGAAGATGGTTTTTCCTTCAGAACATCACTGTCAAATCTCTGTTTCATCATCTTTATTTTCATATTCAATAGGCTCCCCTTGTTAAATTACTGAAAATGCAAACTCAAAAGATGAAGCAGTTCTGACTGAATAAAATGCCCTTCTCCTTCGGTGCCATGGCTTTGAATGAAGAAGTCCAGTGGCCATGGACTTGGCACATCCTTTCTCCACCTTTGGTACAAACGTGATACACCACTTAATATTTCCACAAAGGAAAAGTAAGGCCTATCAATGTGTTAAAAAACCAACTCAAGAGTAAGGCGAAGTTTCTCCACCTTGAAATCTACTTTCCCCTGAAAGATCTCCGTTCCATGGCAGAAGCTCCTAGGGTTTGAAGAGTCAATTTGGTAAAGATGACCTTGATAAAAGGAGCCCCAGTGTGTGTAGAGTGTCAAAACTGTGGTTTCCAAATTCTTGAGTGAATGATAAATCTTAAAAAAAAAAAGAGTTCCAAGTGTTGGAAGCTTTCAAACTTATGGATGAGAAAAGACATGATGTGACTGCTGGATTCAAGCTCAAGGGTAGAAGTTAAGGTTTAGTGATATGCACTTCGCTGCTCCCATTCCCGTTGGTGGTGGTTGTAATGATGTACTGTGTCGGCTGCTGTTGGCTGGTGGTCTGGGGGTCCAAGTCACTGTGTGTAGCTGGCTGAACCTGGACTCCCGTGGAGAGAGCAGAAGCTTGCTTTTCCTCCAATTCTGGTTGACTTTCTGATAACACATAATGACCCTAGAATAAAAAAAGATCTTTAGAAATCTGAAGTCTAAAGGAGTGGGGGAGGTTCTTGGTGGAGAGAGAAAGAAGGAAGATGAAAGGAAATGTTACAAGGTGACACCAAAATAGGCACTTATGTGAGTACTTTAGAGGGGATGGATCAGTCAGAGTAATAGACTACAAAGGTAATTTAAGGGACCGCCTTAGGTGTTCCACCAAATGGTATAGTGAAGAGCTTCCGGTACAGAAATTTGCATTACAATAGTGACCTATGTGGCAAAGGAAACGTGGGCTACTGTACTGTTCCTAAGAATTTAGATAGTAATAAAATAAGATTGCTGTCTATTAATATTTAAGAGTAATACAAAATAGATCACAGAAGAGATATTTAAAGTTTCCTTAAAGAGACATAATGGCTCCCAAGATAGGGAGTCAAGATCAGTGGTTCCTAGATTTCAGAATTTCAGACACCAGCAAATTAAAAGTAATAATAAGTATTCCCAAATTTTATTTTGCCAAGTAAAGTCATTTTTAAGATGTTACTGTCAAATAAGAGAAATTTTAACACTCAAAAGTATAAGAATACAATCTTAGGATAAAATCCCTTACATTGAATCAATTTAGCTTTATGAAAACATGCATTGTCATTATTTTTCCTTTGATCATGAAAACTTCACAGACAGGGAGCTAGCTAGCTCCTTAAGTTAACGTTTTTAAAGAAAGAATGTGTCCCTTGGCAGGGTGATCGGTCTGCTATATAGGCTAAGAGAAAAGAAGTAACAGAGGAAAACCCAGGCAGTGGCCTTTCCAAGCACTGTCCAGAAAAATAGCCATAGGCAAATACCCATTTGATTTCTCTAGGGCCATGTGCTCAGAGTCCACACTCATCAATCTCTGATTACGATTTCGTTTCCCATGTGAGTCTTTCTCTAGCAGGAGGCTGGCTCTCAGCCTAGGGTCCATGGACTACTAGGTGGTCCACAGATAGGCTTTAGAGATTCTGTGAACCCTGGAAAATGTACATTAAATGTGTGTGTGTGTGTGTGTGTGTGTGTGTGTGTGTGTGTGTGTATTATGGCAGGAGGAGGGGAACATCCTTGGCTATAATCAGGTTCTCAAATGAGTTCCTGGCCAAAAAAAAGGGTAAAGAGTCAATGGGTCTCACAGGGAGTAAAAATTCCACAAAAAAAACCAATGAGACTATTCCATTGTACATGAGTTATTGTCTTCACTGACAGCAGTGTTACTTTGGATGTACACATCTCTCCGAAGTCTAGTTAATGTGCGTTTGTGTGCTAAGAAATGGGTAACCTCTCAGTATGCTTTGGGGGAAAAAAATCAGGTTTTCATTTTTGGGGTTTTTGTTTGTTTGTTTTAATTTATTTATTTGTCAGAGAGAGAGAGAGCACAGCAGAGGGAGCAGCAGGCAGAGGGAAAAGCAGGCTCCCTGCTAAGTAAGGAGCCTGATGTGGGACTCGATCCCAGAACCCTAGGATCATGACCTGAGCTGAAGGCAGATGCTTAACTGACTGAGCCACCCAGGCATCCCAAAAAATCAGGTTTTGAGGCCACCAGACTACCCTGCTACTCTTTGAGACCTCTTGGGAAAGAGTCTTCCCCTGGGAACCTCCCAATATCCCTAGCCACTTATGAGTATGTTTCTTAATTTAAATTTACATACTGTTTTCTAATTACTTAGAGTCAGGCCAGAACAAACCAGTGACGAGAAAACCAGAGGTAGCAGATAAAATCAACATTGACCTGCTTAATCTAAATATAACAAGATAATTCATGACAACGTTTTTCCCAGGGGTGGGATGAGTGGGGGAGATTGAATGTTTAAAATAGCTTAAAAGAGCTCTATAACAGATTCATTCTATTATTCTCTTCCAACCCAGTTGAAGACCAATAGTCATGAATACTTTCCACAAAGCACATAAAAAGGTGATCAATTATGAATCTGTATGTATATGGGTCTAGGAGGTTCATTACAGTTATTAACTGCATAGATATTTATTGACCGTTTGCTATAGCCCAGCCTCCTGTGCAAGGCACTGAGAATAAAGAGATAAAGACCCAAGACCCAGCTTTCAAGGAATTCATTGTCTGCTGGGAAAAGATAGACAGTAAACCAGTAATTAATATAAACTATAATAAGGGTTATAATATAACTCCACAAGGAGTTATGGGAATACAGAGGAGGTACTTCTAACTCAGATAAGGAAAACTGAGGAATAGGAAACAGAGGGAGGGGAGAGTGGTGTAGTATGATGGACAGGAAAGCCCTCCCAAGCAGGTCACTTACCGGCGTAACTGCCTTTACTTGGCCAGTGGTGACAGGAGTGGCCACACCACTGTCTGTAATCACAAACTGACCTGGGGGAAGTGTCATCATTTGAATCTCCGATGCTGAAAAACAGGAAATAGTCATACTTCAGTGGTCTCAGATTTTAATACAAGTTGTAGAAACAAATACCTAACCAGTGGCCACATTCCTCATTGAGACATTTTCCACAGATTTCCTTGTCGTAGAATCTTATCATGATATGATTTCTTGATACTCTGATAAGAATGATCATAGGAAGTTAGCAGAGAGTTATCAAATATCAGAAATAATCAATGCAAAAAAAAAAATAATCAATGCATCTCCCCCAAATGTGGCTTCTGAATATCCATAAGACAAATATTCAATAATTTTTTTTAAACCTTGAAATAAGTTACAAAGGTTTACCTGTTAGCTCAATATTTTTAATTTTATATTCGGATTTGAGTCACTGATAAACGTACCCACTATTGCCTACTAATAGCAACATAATCTACTTTGAATTTTATTTCACCACCAGTGTTATTAAAGCAAATTAAAAACAAAGTTCACCCTAGCATCCAGTTGATAGTCTTTATATAATAGTTTCTGTCTGATTCCAGAGCTGATATAGGAAACATTATAAGATGAGCCTAGATCATAAAATAAGCTGGGATCATACCAGCATGCAAGATGCTATAAGAGACTACAGGGTCATGTAGAAAAGACACAGGGGCCAATTTGAAGATGCTCTCATTAGCCAATGTTGGGAGGATCTGAGCAACAATACGGGTAACAACTGCAATGGCTTGAAATATGTTTACTGTGTTGAAATTCATGAGAATACAATGACAGTAAGACACACACACATACCCCTCATTGGTCACCTTGGATAATACTAGGAAAGAACTCATTATTTTGAAAACTGGTAAATAAAAGAGATGAACTGAATATTTAAAGGATTTATCCTGCCCTTCCTGTGCAAATTGCACCTCAGAGTAACCTGTTAGTTAAGGTAAAAATTTTTTCTTTACAGAAGTTTTCTAGGGGCACCTGGCTGGCCCAGTCGGGGGAGTGCACGCATTTTACTCTTGATCTTGGGGTTGTGAGTTTGAGCCCCACATTGGGTGCAGAGATTACTTAAAAATAAAATCTTAAAAAAGAAGAAGTTTTCTAGCTGATAAGTAAGAAAAGAATGATAGAATCAGAATATGACAATTTTGCAATCCCTAATGAAACAGTGGTGCAAAGGGAAAAGACAGACAACTGAACATTATGTGCCTCCTGATGGAAGTACACACCACCAGCCAGAAGTGTCTTGGGGGAAAAAACTGAACCTGAATTTGATCAAGCTTCCAGTCTACAGGAAAGAAAAGGGACAGAAGAAAGCATCTTAAATGATAATATAGGAATGACAACAGCAAAATTCAAAATGTGAGAAATTCTACAGAACAAATGACCCAGTTTCTTCAACACATAAATTGCAATTTAAAAGAGAGAGAATACATTTGTTAAAAAAAAAAAAAAAACTTCAAAGGCTGCCTGGTCGGTGGAGCATGTGAATCTTGATCTTGGGGTCATGGGTTTGAGACCCCCACGATTACTTAAAAAAATAAAATCTTAAAAAAAAAACTTCAAAATATATAACCAATTGCAATGCATAAGCCTTATTAAAAAAAAAATTAGAACAAACCAATCATAAAAAAAAAATTTATGAGGGGCACCTTGGTGGCTCAATCAGTTAAGTGACTGCCTTCAGCTCAGGTCATGATCCCAGGGTCCTGGGATTGAGCCCTGCATTGGGCTCTCCGCTCAGCAGGGAGCCTGCTTCTCCCTCTCCCTCTGCCTGCTCCCCTGTTTGTGCTCTCCTCTCTGTCAAATAAATTAATAAAATCTTAAAAAAAATATGAGACAATCACAGAAATACAAAGAGTGGATATTTGATGGAAAAAAAAGAATTACGGTCATTTATTTTTATGTTTGATGACAGTACTAGAGTTGTGTTTTAAAAAATATTTATGTGGGCACCTAGGTGACTCAATCAGTTGAACGTGGAAGTCTTGGTTTTGGCTCAGGTCATGATCTCAGGGTTGTGAAATGGAACCCCACTTCAGGCTCCACACTCAGCAGGGAATCTGCTTGAGATTCTCTCTCTCCCCCCACCCATCCCCCCTCAAATAAATAAATAAATCTTTAAAACTATATATATTTATGGATGGAGGCATCTGGGTGGCCCAGTTGGTTAAGCATCTGACTTTTGATTTCATCACAGGTCATGATCTCAGGGTTGTGAGATGGAGCCCGACATTGGGCTCCACGCTCGGTGAGGAATCTGCTTGAGTTTCTCTCTCTGCCTTTCCTCCCAGCCCCACTCATGCTCTAAATAAATAAATAAATAAATAAATAAAATAAAATATTTTTTAAAAATATTAAATAAATAAATAAATAAATAAATAAAATAGTTGGGGGATTGGAAGAGAATGATGGGGGTACAAATGAGACAAGATTGGCCCTGACTTCATAACTGAAGTTGGATAATGGGTACAAAGGCGTTCATTATACTATTCTTTTTTTTTTTTAAGTTTTTTTATTTATTTATTCATGAGAGACAGAGAGAGAGAGAGAGAGAGAGAGAGGCAGAGGGAGAAGCAGGCTCCCGCAGAGCAGGGAGCCCAATGTGGGACTCGATCCCAGGACCCCGGGATCATGACCTGAGCCGAAGGCAGACGCCCAACCATCTGAACCACCCAGGCATCCCTCATTATACTATTCTATTTTTGTGTATTTTAAATGTTTTCCCTAATAACTTCAATTCCAGACTCTTTTCTTCAGGTTTTCTATTATTCCCATGGCAATCTGCATCATTCCACATTTCTTTCACAGGAATTAAACTTAGTATAAATGTCTACTGACCAGGGTTCTCCTGGTATTTACTGTGAGTAGGAGTCTTTCCCCGACTAGAAACAAGACTCAGCCCTCATTGTGACCACCAATATTAAGAGAAAGGATTGTAAAAATAACAAGAACGTACAGTTTGAGTCTGATTCCATACCAAATCCACATAACACAGCCAAGGACAATGGAGACAGACTCAAGGAAAGAAATCAGTAGGAGGAGGAAGACCAACACTGGCCTCCTAACTTCTCAGCCCCTACTGCTCCTAGTTGCTACTATCAAGGGCTGTTGTTTCCTCTATTCCAGATCTTCAGTCATAAAGACCCCATGCTTTCCAGCTCATATCCAAGGCTGCCATCCCCACCAAAACTGTTCACTATTAGGATCTCCAGCAGCCAGCCTTTTGCTGCTTCTGTAGCACTAATGTCAGGGTTTTGAAAGCCAACTATTCATATATCTCTCTCTACTAGATAATGATCTCTTTGAGCCAAAGACTATCTTATAAGGAAAGGCCACAGAGTGGGGTGGTTTGGAGAGTAAACTCTGAAGCCAGACTGCCTGAGTTCCAATCCTCTAGTTACTAGCTGTGTTCCTTGGGCAAGTTACTCTGTGTCTGAGTTTCCCTATCTGTAAAGTGCAAATAGCAATTGTACTTATATGTTGTTGTGAACACTGAACGTAGTATATATGTGGTTTAGAATCATTCCTGGCACCTAGTGAGAGCTTCATGAAAGCTGGCTGTATGGTGTGGTGTTACTGATATGAATCAATATTAATTTTGTATACCCAGGGTCTAGCACATCCACCTATACAAAGACTCTATTCAATAAATGTTGATGGAGGGGCGCCTGGGTGGCTCAGTCATTAAGCGTCTGCCTTCGGCTCAGGTCATGATCCCAGTGTCCTGGGATCGAGCCCTGCATCGGGCTCCCCGCTCCGCGGGAAGCCTGCTTCTCCCTCTCCCACTCCCCCTTCTTGTGTTCCCTCTCTCACTGTGTCTCTTTCTGTCATATAAATAAAATCTTTTAAATAAATAAATAAATAAATAAATGTTGATGGAAGAGATGAATCACACCATCAACCTACCCTAGATCCATCTATTCTGCTACTTAGTCCATCCACCTACACTTTCTCTGGCAGTGTTCCTGATGTCTCTGAAATGGGTGGCTCTCTGAGATCAGAACGCTGCCTTGAATTTGGTCATGAAACTCATTCAAGGACATGCACTATGGAGTGTAGAAAATGGCCAATGATACTTTAGTCCAGAAAATTTATTCTAAAGCTGATGAAATTATGACCCTTGAGTGTAGATTCCCCACCCGTGAACTAGAGCACCATCCCTGTTCCTGCCTTACAGTAGCCACGGAAGGAGTTCCAAGCGTTGGGTAGGTAGGTGTGTTGTACAGAGGAACCCTGCTGCTGCTGGAGAGCCTGGCCCGGCGTGGAGGCGCCGCCTTGTATCTGCGAGGGGCTGAGGCCTTGCTGGGACTGCTGGGAGGCAGGGCTCAAGGGCTGCCCAGTTACCTAGAGAGAAAGACAAGGCAGGAGTAGAAAAGTAATCACTTCCAATTTAGTTAAGACTCACAAATAACTGAAAGAAGTAAATCTGGCTAACATGAATTATAACACTGCAAGTATCGCTGCTAAAATAATAATATTTTAAATGAGAATAGGATTAATGAAAAGGAATCCTAACTCTCAAATCCTAATTCATTTTCAAAGGATTATCTACAAGAATATCCAAAAAATTAATTTCACTGAGCTCATTAGAAAGACAAATGAATGAAAGTCTAATTATCTTCATTACAAAAGATTTAACAAATTGAGAAGCTAAAGAACTTGCCTATGTCACAGAGCGAATCTGTAATACAAATTGAAGTAGAACACAGAAATCATAATTTCCACTGAGTACACTGGGACATCCCACCCAGGGAGTGGAGACAAACACAGGTGCACAGGCAGAGATCCACAGGGAGGCTTACTCCTGTCCACAGGACAGAGCCCAAGCTCCATAGTTTGCCATTCAAGCGCTCCATATTCCAGCTCCAAACTACTTTCCAAACTTTTCTCCCAAACATCATTTCCTATCACTAACCTAAACAGTTTTCCATAAATAATACCAGTTTCCCACCTCTGTGCCTTTACTCACAGTGAGACCATATTCAGATCATAATGCCTTTCCCAACTACCATGTCAAAATCAAACCCCTCCTTCAAGACCTAATTCAGATACCACTTCTGCAGAAATATCCTTGATTCCCTGCTAAACAGAATCTTTCCCTCTTCTGAAAGCCCGTAACTTACCAACATAGCCACATCATCCTTAGACCCAGGCAAGACCCATCCTTAGACCATGGCCCTGGAATAAGTGTCCCCTTCTAGGTGACACTTGGGAACCAGAGTTCCCCATTCCCTGTGACAACAGCCCTGCACCCACTTCCAGGGCCTGCACAAGTCTATTCCCTGGGTCTGTCACCTTGCAGGGGTCCTATCTCTTGGATGTGGGCTCCTCTAATGGTATTTGGGCACAGGGGACCAAGGGGGTGGCCGTGGGATCACCTGTGCAGGGATGTGGAAGAAGCTGAGACATGTGGGTCGGGGTGTCCATGTGGGTACACAGAAGGCCCTGTGAGGTGCAGGATGGAGGCTGGGTGAGAAGAAACAGGGAGCAGTCTTGGGGAAGGTTGTCCCTGTGCCACCACCTTCTGAGAAGGAGTCCCTCCAGCCTAGGGTTCCTTTGAGAAACTTAGAAGTGTGATGCCCGTGGGGGTGGGAAAGATGGGCCCCTCGTGGACAGAGGTGACTGTCTGAGACTGGGAGAAGTGACAGAAACCTCACAGCCGCTGAACCTCACACCAGAGGGAGGGGAGGGGCCGTCAGATGGCAAGCAGCAGAGCCTCCCATCCCCAATGCCCCCCAGTGAACAGGAAGGCAGAGAAAGTGCATGTTTATCCTATGGATTTCCACAGCAGTCCGAAGGGCACAAAGCCAGCAAGGGAGGGAGAAATCCTGTTCCCCCTTCCTTAGCCCCAGCCTAGCAGCTGCCAGTGCCGCCCACACATTTGGCAGGAAGGCAAGGAATTTCGAATTGGCACTAACCATGTTATTTAGCAGCAATTGTTACTTAGCATATCCTTTTCAATTTTGTTATTATGAAAATATATGTGTCAAGCAGGAAGACAGAACATACATTTTTTAAAGTTTTTACTTAAATTGCAGTTAGTTGGGGCGCCTGGGTGGCTCAGTCAGTTAAGCGTCTGACTCTTATTTCGGCTCAGGTCGTGATCTCAGGGTGGTGAGATCGAGCCCCGCGTCAGGCTCCCTGCTCAGCGGGGAGTCCGCTTCTCCCTCTTCCTCTGCCCCGTCCCTGCTTGCTCTCTCTCTCTCAAATAAATAAATAAAATCTTAAAAAAAAAAAAAATGAGAGAGATTCTGTTTCTTGGTTTGCCCTCCTCTCTTTTTTTTCCCCTTTGCTCATTTGTTTTGATTCTTAAATTCCACATATGAGTGAAATCATATGGTATCTATCTCTGACAGACTTACTTCACTTAGCATTAATAGTCTCTAGCTCCATTCATGTAGTTGCAAAGAACACATTTTGTTTAAGTTTGTTAGCTTGATTTGAAACCTTTAACCACCCAGACACACGCATGCAGGCTTTCATTTGTACTCTTGTCCTGGAATCTGTGAATATCAGAGGTGGGCCTACATGTATCCTTTCTGGTTCAGATACCTTCGATTTATATCCCATTTACTTCTACATATTTGTTATAGACTCCAAGCTCCTTGAGGGCAAGACCTAGAAAAGTTTCATGCAAAGGGTAAGATTTTTAATAAATATTTTTTTAGGGCCCCTGGGTGGCTCAGTTGGTTAAGCGACTGCCTTCGGCTTTTTTTATGATCCTGGAGTCCCGGGGTCGAGCCCCACATCAGGCTCCCTGCTCGGTGGGGGGTCTGCTTCTCCCTCTGACCCTTCTTCCCTCTCGTGTTCTCTGTCTCTCATTCTCTCTCTCTCAAATAAACAAATAAAATCTTTAAAAAAATCTTTTAAAAATAAATTTTTTTTTTTAAAGATTTTATTTATCTGACAGAGAGAGAGATAGCAAGAGCAGGAACACAAGCAGGGGGAGTGGGAGAGGGAGAAGCAGGCTTCCCACTGAGCAGGGAGCCCGATGCGGGACTCGATCCCAGGGACCCTGGGACCATGACCTGAGCCGAAGGCAGACGCTTAACGACTGAGCCACCCAGGCGCCCCCAAATAAATATTTTTTTAATGGATGTAGCTATGCTGTCCCAATAACAGCCTCTATGATATAAACACAATAATATGCCACAAAGTCACTGTCCCAAAATTCAAGAAACAACTTAGCAACTGCATGCTATCAGACAGCCATATAGAATAGGAAACAAAGGCCAAGGTTGTCCCTAGGATATAGGATCACAGGGCTCCTTTTGCTTAGGGGAAGCTCATCACTTAATGCAAGTGTGTCCATAATGCCAACATAAAACCTGGAGGCAAAGGTAGGATCTTTAACGAAGGCCCAAAAATAAATGGTATCGTTTCAATAGTCAAGCTGACTGGGTCTGAAGACAATGGCTCTTCACTCTTATGAACATTCCAGGGTCCCCAACACCATATTGCCCTTCGTGAGCAGCGGGAGAACATACCTGGGAAGATGAGGGGGTGGAGGAAGTGGGCTCTGTGACTTGGATGTGCTGCACCTGGATGGCATGCTGGGTGTAGGTCTGAGGGTCGTGGAGCTGGCCAACGTCCACAGTGGACTGCTGAGACTGGTGTGGGGAAGTGGCCTAGAGGGCAGAAGACCAAAAGCATACTGATTAAGGGGAAGGGAAATCCTTCCAGAGAAAATGTTCGGCTGAAACAACATCCCAGCAGAACAGCAGATGGAACTTCACATCCAGGGTTTCGCTCCCAGAGAGCCCACACTTAAGCCAAGCTGGTAAACACCAGCAAAGAAGATCATTTTAAAAGTTACTCTTGGGGCACTTGGGTGGCTCAGTCGTTAAGCGTCTGCCTTTGGCTCAGGTCATGATCCCAGGGCTCCTGGGATCGAGCCCCACATCGGGCTCCCTGCTCAGCAGAAGGCCTGCTTCTCCCTCTCCCACTCCCCCTGCTTGTGTTCCCTCTCTCGCTATCTCTCTCTCTGTCAAATAAATAAATAAAATCTTTTAAAAATAAATAAATAAATAAAAGTTACACTTATAAAACATAAGCCACTAATGCTATTTAATTCTGAAAGAGAAGGAGAGAAAGGGAACATAGCTCCTTGTAATAAGCTGAACAAGAAGCTCTCAGGAATCAAAAGTCCTTTTCCCTTAAGTTTCAATTAAATGTAATGCCCTACCCTTCATAGGTTAAAAGAGATCAAAGAAGAGAATTTGCTTTCAGCTACTGACCCACTAGAAGAGTGGTCCCCAACCTTTTTATGTATCCCAGACATCTCTGAAAATCTGGCTAAAGTACAGTCCCTTTTTCCAGAATAATGTACATATACATCACACTTTTCAGCCAATTTCAGGGATTCATAGGTTCCTCCAAAGCCTGAAGTTAAGAAACGTCCCATAAGAAAAACAGGATAAAGAACAGTCAACAACAGTAGCAACTCCTTATTTCCCGCTCCGGTATTAGTCCTAAATTTTCCTATTTTCCTAAATTTTCAGACCAAATTATTTCAAAGCAACAGGTTTGATCATTTGTGCCTTCAATACACTCCCTCAGCATACTTAAATGAAACAATAGTTCTGGGAGGATTTCTTCTTTTAGCTCCCTAATCAATGAGAATGAGCTACAGAAGGCAGAAGGAACGTCCTCACACCTCTGTACGAATAATGTGCTGACTGACCTTCGAAACTCAAAATTATTCTTTACAATCTCCCTTTCGATGCCCAAGTAGGGATGTACCAAACTGGTTCCCCACCAAGTAGTCAACTTTGGTGCTCAAGGATTCAGAAGAGGCTCTGAAGGAGTTCATGTAGGACTGCCCCGTGGTAGCACAGGATGACAGTGTACAGGGCAGCCGGAAGCCTCTGGAAGGCTCCTTTTTTTTTTTTTTTTCCTGGAAGGCTCTTGAGAGAATCTCTTACACTGCTAAGTCCAGAGCCCTATACAGCCGGGGGGCCAGGAGAGCTTGCCAAATGCCTTAGACTCAGATCTTACACAGGAAGCCCATGATGTGGGGTCCAGCTCTAGCTCTGAGAACTGGGTGCTCTTGTTGACCGCCCCTCCCCCCCCACCCCGCCACCGCCATATTGCCTAGTGGCGATCTGGCATTCCTGAAGGTAAAGAGAAACATGTACCGGAGCCACTTGCACCACTTGAAGCTGTATGTGCTGAGGTTGCTGAAGACCGGATGTTGACTGTGACACAGGAATATACTGAATTCTCTGGTAGTCCCCCTGCGACGTTCGGTAATCGGTTGTTAAGGTCTGGGACAGCTCTGTCATGGCTTGGGTTAGGAGGTCTGTTGTCTAGAAAAGTCACAAAAAACACACTAGCTGGTAACACTACAGCTTGTACAAATTAGCCTGAGCTCAGATAGGAGAGATCCAAAGGTGAGAAGATGCTGGAGGATTACATATGTCTATATCCACCAGCCCCGATGGGGTTACCCGACAGGTTCTGACCATCTTGCAGCACAGGAACGGCACTGTTCCTGTTTCTTGCTGCCCCTTCTACAGACAGCTTTGGAAAGCATCGACTAGGAGACCCACCACACACAGAAGGCCCTGGGTAGAAAACTGAGGGATAATGAGCTACCTTTGCAGCCAATTATATAGCAAGACAGACGTGGCTTTGGTATCGGAAGCTGTGACGGGCGCAGAAGGGGATGAGGGGCCCTGACCAGTCACACACTTACCACCACGGTCTCCCCGGTAGCACTGTCTGTGGTTAACACAGCCGGGGCAGCACTGATCACAGCTGTCGTGAGCGGTGGATGTAAGGTGTTAGGGAGCTGGGCGTACTCTGGATGCTTCTTTCGAATGTGCTGTACCATCTTGGTCTGGAAAAGTATGGCAAAACCAAGAATCATTACTAGAGTTAGTTATTTGCAATTTTTCTCAAACACAAACGCTGCCTGATTCCTGAAGTCTTTCTGGGTTTGCCTTGAAAGAAATAAGGTGTGCCGGCTCCTCCCAAAGCAGCACAGAGTTTGCAAGAGGAAAAGGAAGAGGCTGAGAAGAAACTGAATACCCATGTGACCCCACGCCGTCAGGCAAGGTCAGCACACCTCACTCACAGTATCCCCTAACCCCCCAATACCTGCAGCAATCAATCACAAGTTCTCCGCCTCCCACAACCAAGAATGACCCCCTTTTCAAGATCTATCATGTAAGTTCCTACATCATGCTTCTGTAAACCTGAGCTCATAAAGCATGAGCATAAAATATTCCAATATGAGACCTTCAGCAGACCAAAGAAAAGGAAACCAACTGAGTGCTCAGATTATGTATGAGATACACTAACCCTGTGGAAATTCCACTTATTCTCTTCCCATTCTGGATTTATAATCCCTATTCTCAGGAAACAGCTCCTTAGCCATCTGAACTAGACAAAACACCTCCAACAGTCCCCCATCAATTCCAAAGAAGCCAATTGCCACCTTCTCTTAAGAGATTCCTTAAATAATGACCTTGATTCAGATGCAGTCAAAGCCCTTCCCATACCTTGCTGCTGTACTGTTTGGAGCAGTGAGGACAGCACACGGGAGGGGTAGCTATTGTGCCCGTGAGCTGGGTGTGGGTGCTCAGCATGGGGTCTGGTTCTCCTGGGCCAGCTGGACGGAGTTTGCGAATGCTTGGTGGGAGCTCAGCCCCTGGATGGTTCTTCAGAATATGGGCTTTTCGTTTGCTGGCACTTTTATAAACCTGCAAATTCAAACGCTTTGTCATGAAAGCAGTATACGGTTCCACTTTCTTACTTTAAAGCAAAATCTCAAACAATTCTGTTGTTAGGTATGAGAAATGAGAAAAAGTATTCAGGTAGCCCAAAATAAAATATGTTAGCAGCTATATTGAAGGATATATAAAATAAGAACATAATGTAGATATGCTAGGCATTTTTCTAGAATTTATACATCTAAGATAGTAATAATAAAAATACCCCTTACCTTGAAGTTTAAGAGGTAGATGCACAGTCACAGAAAAAGAATCATTTCAAAGGCCAGTTCATCCCACTTAGCCTTTCCACAAAAGCTCTCATATGTTTACTAGTACTAGATGCCAAAGAAACCTCCAAAATGGCAAGTCTAAAAGTGCCTAGTACCTATAATGGTGAATCTATGCTCTAAAACGTTTCCCAGTTTTGGGGCGCCTGGGTGGCTCAGTCGTTGTGTCTGCCTTAGGCTCAGGTCATGATCCCAGGGTCCTGGGATCAAGCCCCGCATCGGGCTCCCTGCTCAGCGAGAAGCCTGCTTCTCCCTCTCCCACTCCCCCTGCTTGTGTTCCCTCTCTTGCTGTGTCTCTCTCTGTCAAATAAATAAATAAAATCTCTAAAAAAAAAAAAAAGGTTTCCCAGTTTTAAGCTGACACAAGTACATTGTATAAGGAAAAATATTACAATGAAACAATACATGTATATTCAGTCTTTTTGCAACTGCACAAAAATAAAGGTGAAATAGTACAGTCTTCCATCACAAAACTTCTCCACATCCTACTCAATCTTCTAGAAATCCCAAACCTACTGTATATATTTTACAAGTAGGATGATAAACAATTTTGCTTTAAAGCTTAGGAATTTAAAACGAATTCATATACTCAGCTCTTGGTAAGCCTCTACTTTTATAACAAAACCACAGAGAGAAGGAAAAATGTTAAACACAAAGTCAACTAATGCTTAGGAGAAAAAATTTGGCTTAAAATGAGGCTGCACTTTTAGCCCTTTCTCATCTGAATGGAAAACTACTGAGAGGCAGGGAACCATCTGTTAAGAATAAGTGTAAGATCTAAGTATGTGTTTATACATGCGGACAAATGGGCTCTACGTAGGGCTCCCAGGAAGCATCCCAGTGTGGACAGTTTCCTTTTACCTTATCACAGTACTGACAAAAGTAATCACGGTTGGGCTTTATGATGGGTAGAGTTAACTCTGGCACCTCTTCTATCTTCATGTCTGGGTGCCTCTTTGATAAGTGATTTACCTAAAGGGGAAAAAAGCAAATGAGAAAAAGAGAGCCTATTACAAAGAGAAGCGAACTAAATGCCTCTGGTCTTGACTGCTAGAAGTTGGAATCCTGGGAAGCCATGCCCCAAAACAATAAGGCATGTGGCCAGATCGAGCGTTTCCAGGCCCATCTGACACCAAGCCTTAACAATCACGGTTAGCAGGAGTTAACAGTCATTCAGCAAATTACTGAAGGGAATTGGGTCACGGTGGATTCCATTAACAGTCTTTGACTGAAAGACCCACCGAAGGAAAATGGAAAATTACACTAGCACGAATCTCATTGTTGAATTCTCCCAATGCAAACCCATCTTTCATTATTTAGTGCCCTGGCCTTACTGAGGACACTGAATGAGATGCAAACTCAGGTTCTAAATTTTAAATAATTCCCCACGCCTCTAGTCCTACCAGAACTGTAACAAAGTCAAAATGAATTGAACTGGCTATCCTGAGGTGTCTCCTAACCCAGTTCACACACCCTGCTTTGAAGGGCAGTTTCCTTCTATTGCTGTTTCCCATCTGGAAAGGGGGGCATTACAGAGAGCAAATGAGGAGAAGGAAAAACCCCACCAAAAAGGACGTTCAGGAACACAGAAGAGAAGAGGGAAATGAAATATAAGAGCAGAGACTGAGCACGGTAAAGCAAAAGAAAATTCATAATGAAAAGTGACAGAGAAAGACTCATCCCAAGAGGTCAGCAGAAATGAGCTGTGGCACAGGAGGGCAAAGGGAGGGGCGCCTGGGTGGCTCAGTCGTTAAGCGTCTGCCTTCGGCTCAGGTCGTGATCCCAGGGTCCTGGGATCTAGCCCCGCATCGGGCTCCTTGCTCAGCAGGGAGCCTTCTTCTCCCTCTCCCACTCCCCCTGTTTGTGTTCCCTCTCTCACTGTCTCTCTCTCTCTGTCAAATAAATAAATAAAATCTATAAAACAAAAAAAAACAAAAAACAAACAAACAAAAAAAACAGGAGGGCAAAGGGATCTGGGAAGAACTCCAAATTGGGCATCGTGTGCTTCTGTCTTTTCCCCTAGCCCCTGACAAAACCTACTGAAAATTTCGCACAGAATACTACGCAAAGCCATCGCATAGCCATAGACAGAAATGGGTGGGTCTGGAAGCCGCTTGGCACTGACCAGCATGCCTCGTCTCCGGAAGCCCATCATACACAGGCGGCACTTGAATGTGAAGCTGTCGTAGTCCGTGGATGTGATACGAGGCTTGAACGTCTTAGAGCGGCTGATGCGGTCAGCTTTCTTGGCCTCCCTCTCAGGGTTGTGCATCCTCTGCATATGTTCCCGTAGTTTGTCTTTTCGCTATTTAGAGAGAATGTTTGAAAAGGCAGGGGAGTGGGGAGAGAGGGTAGAAAATTTTTAATTGAAGGGATTAAAAAAAGCAATACAAGTTACCAGTAAGCACAACCTACCAAGAGGCATCCGAGTTGCCAGGGTGCTGGAATGCACAAACTCTGTCCATTAGCAAATAAGTACGTTCCACTGAGTCTTGGTTTTGGGGAAGAAAGAATTTATATGTAGTATGGAGAAGATCAAAGGATAATGGAATAAATTTGGTATTAAGAATTTCAAGACAGGGGCGCCTGAGTGGCTCAGTCAGTTAAGCATCTGCCTTCGGTTCAGGTCATGATCCCAAGGTCCTGGGACCAAGCCCCGTGTCGGGCTTCCTACTCATCAGGAAGCCTCCTTCTCCCTCTCCCCTTCCTTATGCTCTATCAAATAAATAAATAAAATCTTTAAAACAAAAGAATTACAAGACAAATCGATAATGAATGATAGGTAATACTGTATTTACAAAGCCATTTGTATGCTCAGTTCCCACACATTTTAAAAAATGTTATGCTATTCTTCCAAATCCCACATAAATTTAAGTATTTCTCATCTTATGGACTTAGAAGCTCATGCAAACAATTACACTGCCCACTGTGGATGAAGCATACGGTCTAGGTCACAGGCCTTAGTTTGATGACCTAATCTAGTGATACATGTTGGTATGAGTCCACAGAGAAAAAAATCAAGCAGAGCCCAGCCCAAGGAAAAAAACATTCAAAAAATGCCAGCTCCCTTCTTCAGCATTTCTCTCTTCTCTTAGTCATGATTAAACTATTATTGGTCTTGGGGCGCCTGGGTGGCTCAGTCTTAAGCATCTGCCTTTGGCTCAGGTCATGGTCCCAGGGTCCTGGGATCGAGCCCTAAATCAGGCTCCCTGCTCCGCAGGAAGCCTGCTTCTCCCTCTCCCATTCCCCCTGCTTGTGTTCGCTCTCTCTCTCTGTGTGTGTCTCTCTCTGTCAAATAAATAAATAAATAATCTTTAAAAAAACAAAAAACAAAAAATGACTATTGGTCTGATAAAGATTTTGAACGTTTCCACCAGAACAGTTCTCCCTACATTTTGGTATAAGGACTTTTATTTAACCACTGCCTTTTTTCAGCACATTCATTTAACAAGTATTTCTTGAGTGCCCATATCGGGAACCATTCGAAGTTCAGGGTTCAACGCTAGGACCCCTCACCTACCTCTCTCTTCTGCTCCTCCTACCCCCACCCACCTCATTCCTAGAAAGTCCAGCAGAGAATTTCAGAGTCTCTTACTTTGCAGTAAAGTCTGGATTACAAGCCTTGCCCTAAATAACAGTATTTCTCTTGAGTGTCTTTAGATAGAGGGATAAAGCTCACCACCTCAGACTTCTGTTGCATTTCTACTTTTTCCCCAGCATCGGTATTCACTAATTTCCCCCCACCCATTCCCTTTAAACAGACCAAGTTATTGTAACTGACTCATTACAGAAGTCCCAAAGCCACCTACTACTACTACACCACCAAGCTCTGCATACAGAGCCAGATACATCTGCTGAAGGCCAAATCTCAGCAAGTCTTTTCCATCCTAACAGCCCTAAGCCCAATCCATTATGACCCCACTCTCTCCTCCTGCCTAAATCCTGCTGCTGGATCAGCAGTATTCCCAAACATCTAGCCTCCCAAGCTGCAAAGCCCAATTCCTCTCTGTCCACCCATCAGCCTAGCATCCAGACACAAAGTCCTACCAATTCTCCCTCAGATGTTTGTCTTGGATATGGACCCTTTTCTCCACGCCCGCTGACTAGGCCTTAGTTCAGCCCAGCTGTAAAATGCCCCTGGAGCATCTTTACCCCTCCCCCTCTCCTCCTCCCGTCCCTTTCTCTAGCAGGCTCACTCTTCCCCACCCTTCAAGGAATTCAAGCGTCACCTACACCCCAAATCAGAGTGAATCCTTCTCGTGGCATTTTTTTTTCTCTATTACAGTAGCAGTAATAATTTTTTTGAAGTTTTATTTACTTAAGTAATCTCTACACCCAACATGGGTCTCAAGCTCATGACCCTGAGATCAAGAGTCACATGTTCTTCTAACTGAGCCAGCCAGGCGCCCCAGGAACAGTAATAATTTTTAATGCACATGTCAAATTTCCTCTTTAAACTGAGAGTTCCTGAAAGTCAAAAGGTCCTACCTTTTGAAGCTTGTAGTAGGACAGTTACAATTCAGTAGAAGTGCTACAACAGGGTCACAAGTAAAGGGTCCTATGGGAATATATAGGAGAAGCACTTAATCCAGTGGGGGGGGGCGGGCATCAAGAAATGCCTCTGTACGAAGTGACATCAGCCAGGTGGAATGATGAGAGAGTCTGAAAGTGTATTTCAAGTGCGGGGGTTGTGAAGGAGAACAGATGCAAAGCCCCCAGGAGAGACAGCGTGCCACACTGGCAGTAAACCACAGAGCTCAGCAGAGCAGAGTACAAAGGGGAAGGTGGAACTGCAGAGGTAATTGGGAGCCAGGTTCTGTTTTTTGTTTTCTGTTTTTTTTAAGGATTTATTTATTTATTTGACAGAGAGAAAGACAGCAAAAGAGGGAACACAAGCAGGGGGAGTGGGAGAGGGAGAAGCAGGCTTCCCGCGGAGCAGGGAGCCCGATGCGGGGCTCGATCCCAGGACCCTGGGATCATGACGTGAGCTGAAGGCAGACGCTTAACAACTGAGCCACCCAGGCGCACCCCAGGTTCTGTTTTTAACTAGAGTTTGGGTGACACACAATATTACATTAGTTTCAGGCGTACAACATAGTGAGTTGACAACTCTCTACATTCTGTTATGGAAGCCAGATCTTGTGGTGGCTTTTTTTTTTAAATTAAGTAAGCTTTATGCCCAACGTGGGGTTTGAACTCACGACCCTGAGATCAAGAGTTGCATGCTCTACTGACTGAACCAGCCAGGTGCCCCTTGGGGTGACTTTTAAGTGATAAGCACTTTGGATTCTATCTAAGAGGCTATTAAAATTAAAGGCCCATGACATTGAATTTGTTCTCTAGAAAAATAACTCATTATAGTCTGAAAAGTGAATTGTAGATACGTTGTGCTTTTGTACCGCGTCAACTTGGCTAAGGGGAACTAACTGTATTTACATGGATCCCGATCCTGGTGTGGTTCTCAGTCTTCGCGAAGAGAGGCTCGCACCAGACTGGAAGGCGGGAATGAAGCAGTGGCCATGATGCTCTGTGGGCCAGGGGCAGGGGCGCCGGGATAGCCCCACTCACCCTCGCTGGCTCCCACTCAGCCACCAGTTCTCCTGCTGAGGGCAGGTGCCACAGGCAACTCGGCGTCCATCGCCAAAGGCAGCAACATTCCTCCGTGGCCAGCACCGGCTCTCTTTCATGAGCCCGCTGGAGGTGCCTGGCTTCCCAGGTTCCCAGGGAAGTTCCCATTGTCCACCCGGACCAGGGCTGCAGAAGGGTGCATTAGTGACTTCTCTCTGATCCTCCAACCTCTCCTGCCAGACCCTTGCTTCTCTATCTTCTTCTATGATGAAGTTCTTATTCCTGCAAGAAACTCCCTTACTGCATAACTCCAGTGGGTTTGCTTCCCTGATTGAACCCTGTCCTAATACATCTGGTGAGAGTGAAAGAGAAAATGAAAGGAGCAAGGTTTTTCACATGCCTGGTGCTCAAATGGTATCAGGCACAAAAAAGATAATAAAAAAATATCAAACGGTAGGATGGATGGATAGCTAACCGGTTAACATCATAAGACAGGGATCCTTTTGGATATATTGTTGGTGTTGTTTTTTTAATTAAGAAACAAAAAAGAACCTAGGCCAATTTAGAGCTTTCACATTAGAATTCTCTGCAAAGGTCTAAACTGTGCTACCGTATATTGAAAGCCAGCAGGATTATATTCCACAACACATCAAGTTAAAGTTTGAAAATTACTTCCTATATCTCTTTATCATCTCCACATTCTATACAATGCATCTTTTTAAAATTAGTTTTTCCCTCCAGCATCTGTTTCTGAGTCTTTCCCAGTTTCTATGACAGCATGACCTACAATCACACTCACTAGTGTTTCTTTATTGAATGTGAGTCATCTGATTTCTCAATGAAGTATATATTTATTAGTTTCATATTTCCTTGTTTAACTCTTATCCCTGAGTCTCCTATGGGTTTTTCCCTTGCTTCTTCTAAATTCCAGGCAGGCTACTGATACTTATGAAGTCTTATTTTAATCCTTGGAGTCATGACCATTCCCTAAAGTTGCCTAAGCTGTTCAGTGTTCCAGATTTCCACAGATCTCCCTCCTTCCTTAGATGACAGTCCTGAGACTTTCAGGGCTCAATTACCAGGCTCTGATACATAATAAGTGCTCACTAAAAATCTCTCGATTTGGTAAGTAAATGGATTGTTCTCTTAGGAATCCCTCAACAGCAATTTAGTTCCACTTATTGTACATCTGGATTCTCTTAAGGAGATGTGTTATTACTCTATTTGGCAATTTGAATTAATTATTTGGGGATATTAAGGTGAGCTTTTTCCTTCATTTTATCATAATAACCAAGTCAAACACGAGACATAAAATGCATCTCAAGTTCAGCTCTTTGTAAGTAGGTGATTAACGGATGAAATGAACAGATATGTATCCTTAGCCCGACATAATTTTAGTGGCCGTGAGAACAACGTTAGGCCGTTCACTGCTTCCGTACCTTAAATTGCTTCCCACATGTGGAACACAGGAAATCTTTGCGGTCTGAATGTCGGAGCATGTGAAGACGCAGTTTGTCAGGACGGCAGAAGGCCTTGTCGCACTCTGTACACTGGTAGATCTTTTCTGAGTGGAAGCTTCGCACATGTTTTTTCACCTGGCAGTTGAAGACACCAACAAGTCAGAGGACTCGGGCACCCAAAGGAAGGACAAATGGTGGCTTATCAACACTAGAGGGAGCCAAACGCATTCCCATGGATTTTCATCAACCTGACGGTGTAATCCAATCAAATGTGACTGATAATTGGCCTCCATCACACACAGTACCCCTGTCACAGAGAAACAGAACAAGCAGCCAGAAAGCTTTATAAATCTTAACCTCCCACATAACTTGAAGAAGAGGAAGAAAGAGTGCTTGCTCAAAGCCCTGATCACATGGGACCCATTTTTCTTTCTCTCTCTCTCTACTTTTTTAAGATTAAGCAGAGTTCCTCTGGATTTTAATATATCTTGGTAAAAATTATCCACAGAAAGACAAAAAAATAATTCTTTCTCACTTGTTTCTGCCTCCAACATGTATAGAAGCAATTTAGCCCTTTTAGTAATTGGTCCTTTTTCATCTTTCCATTAAATCAGGTTCTGAAAGGGATGCCTGGGTGGCTCAGTCGGTTAAGCATCTACCATCAGCTCAGGTCATGATCCCAGGGTGCTGGGATCAAGCCCCATATCGTGCTCCCTGCTCAGAGGGGAGTCTGCTTCTCCCTCTCCTGCTCCCCCTGCTTGTGTGCACGCTCTCTCTCTCTCTGTCAAATAAATAAATAAATAAAATCTTTAAATAAATCAGGTTCTGAAGAACAAAGACATGAATTAGATGATATAAAATACATTACCCATTTATGAGAACGACACAATACCAGCATCATTTCTCCTTAAACTTATTCCCTATACTTCTGGATAATTTAAATAAAGGAATACGGCCTCAATTCTCTTAGCTGTAAATACCCAATGAAGGAGAGCTGTGATGAGAGCTAAGTAGTGAATCGTAGAGAACTATTTCTATAAGACATTTTGCTTCATTGTTTTTGAGTCTCTTTTGCCATTAGATTCTGCCATAAGCCACTTTTCTAATTGTTTGTGTGAAGTGATAAAATTACCAAGACTCCCCAAACTAGCAGAACTATGATCTCCTTTTGTCTGGGTAATTTTTTTTTTAAAGAGAAAATATTTTTACTAGTTATATTTAATTATTCATTTTTTTTTTTAGAACTAGCATATCATCACTTGAAGTTCAAATGAAATCATGAATATTCTGGAATTTATCCTCACCTATTTTGCTCCAGAATATAGTCCAAGGAAGGAGGTCAGTGCTTGATACAAAAGTATATTATATACCAACTCTCTCTTTGTTTCCTTCCAAAATGCATGACCTTAGTAAAGCAAGACAGGATACCACAGTAGTAGAGAGAAAATGTTTCCAGGCCAGGAAATGGGAGCATGTCTTCTATAGGCTCTCTATATTTTATGAGTAGAGGGTACTGGCAAAGATTAAGAAAGACTTTGTAAAAATCACAATCAGATCTGGGTATTTGTTACTTGTAATAAAACTTAAATGTTTCAATGCCAATGTCTGATTTGGACAATTAAGAGTTATGATAATCTTTATCAAAACAGCTTGATTGAAGAAATACCATTCTCAACCGTAACGTTGTTTCAAGGATGGGATGAAAATGCAGGCGATAGGCAGTCTCAACTTTCCAAACATCAAAGTTTCTTTTACCAAAGAAGAAAAGCATATGGGAGTCTCAGGAATAGACACTCACCTGGATAAAATCTGGGAATCGTTTCTTACAAGTTGGGCATGTAAAGCAGCCATCATTGATATGAATGGCCACATGATCCTTCAACAAATCAAGGCGGTCAAAGGATTCTGGGCAAAAAATGCAAGAATAAGTCTTCTGGTCCGAATGGAGTTTCATGTGGCTCTCCAAGGACGCACTGCTGATGAAGCCCTTGTTACAGAGATCACAGGTCAGCGGGCAGTTCCCCTCCCGCCCGTGGAAGCGCAAATGTTGGTCCAGTTTGTCCTTTTCACGGAAGGCCTTCCCACATTGCAAACACTTAAAAGGCCGGAAGGACTTCCGAATAAACAGATGCTGAAGAGCTGCATTCTGAAAGACACACACAAATACAATTATTTAGCGAGGAGGTCAAGTGGGTAAGCAGCTCGCACATTTATAGAGAAAGAGGATGATCTCTGCAATCAGACTTTCCATAGAAATTAAACTCTGGGACACACAGTTGAAAGAAGATTTTCCTGGTGAAGACATTAAAAATGAAGCCATCCCCAAAGAAGTTCACCCTGAAAAGACAAACCTTTTCTATGTCTTACAATATTTATGGATGTATGGGTTGTTTTTTTTTTTTTTTTAAGAATTAAGTAACAGCCAAAATAGTATTCCCAATAAAGGATTTGTATAATAAAACAAATCCCAGAGTTGAGTAGAATAACAATTGGAGATTTAGAAGAAGTGACGTGGGGTAAGTCACACATGAAGTTGGAGCAAGTCAGCCAAATGTTACTTGCTGAAGTTCTTGAGAAAAAGAATTCAAAGCTTGATTAAAATGTTTAGAAAAAAAAAAAAGATCTAAAAAGAACTGAAGAGCAGTACTTGCCAGGGGCTGGGGAAGGAGGCAATGGATACAAGGTTTCTTTGAGGATGATGAAAATGTTCTGGAATTATAGTGGTGATGGCTGCATAACTTTGAGAATATTCTAAACACCACTGTAAAAGGGTGAATTTTATGGTCCATGAATTATATCTCAATTTGAGAAAAAGAACTTGAAAGAGAAATGAAGGATACAGATTTATATGAACATGTTCATTCATGAGGTAAGATATATGAGCACACATTATAAATGGAATATGTATATTTGACCACTTCCTACTTAGAAAATGCAGAAGACAAGTTCTTGGTGTAGCTAGTTAGTTCCACTGGTTAAAAGGCCATGCTAACAAAGTTAAGCTTATCGCTTTGTTCCCTGTCTAGACTAGTCAATTTTCCTCTTTTTTTTTTTGCAGTCACAGATTGCACTTCTAATGCTGATTAGCCATCTTGTAAATTCATGTAATTGTTATAGGGAATCCAAGTGAGAGAATATGGATATTCAGTGCAAATTCATCACTACCGCTGGAAAAACTCATGCTCTGCAGAGAGCAGATCAACAGAATCATCTTTCACACAGGGAATAGAGCATCAATGTTTTAGTTATGCTATAATGAAGACTCATTCATAGGTTCTTCAAAATACCACAGGGAAAGCTCTAGAGAGCTATGGGGGGGGAATCCCTCAGAAAATATTTCTGTGAATGGGTGAGCTTGTGTGACTAAGGGACTAGTAACTGAAGGATTAATGGAGACCTTAATGCATTATTGGTACAATGAACCATGCTTAACCCCAACCTCTAAGCTAAATTTAATGTGAAAAAAATCATTCAGAAAAAAGCAAAATAGTAATTTTTTCTTTAGTGAAAATTCTGAACACAGTTACTATATGACTGAAAACTTCCTCCTCAGGGTCTCTCATGGGGCCGGGAGAGATATTTCACCTACTCATTTATCTTGAGGAGGTATTTAGAAATTCTGTTGTCTTCCCCAGTTGACTGAGGCAGGACTGCATTATATCTTATCCTCCTTTGTATCTAGAGCCCTTAAACTATAGCTTAGCTCATAGGAAGTGTTCAATAAAAACTCCAGAATTAATGAAATGTATTTCATATGAAAAACAAAAAGAATTCTTTCAAAGTCTCTTTTATAGCACCTGCAGAGATCTGTAATAGCAGACCATTCTCACATCAGTCAGAGATTTCTGGCACTTTATTATACTGTTCAGCAGTTACCTAATCTTTTTACTCTATCTGAACAAATATTTATTTTACAAAAAGCTCTCACTATTCTGGCTACTTTCAAAACTTAATGGAAATATTGCAAATAAACAAATACTATCCTGAGATTCAGACATTCAAGATTTAGAGTGCTTTCAGCATGTAAGAATCATTTCCTTTATCCAAGTTAAATAAGGTTTCCAAGGGCAGACACAATGTACAATTGATCTTGGTCCCACTGGGGATTCCACTCCTATTCGGGCGCCAAATCTAGAACTCGGTTTTGTTTTGGACTATTATGCTAATAAGTCTTCTGTCATTTCTGATTAGTTTGAGTGTCCTCAGACACTTGAGCCACTGGGCTCCACGTTCTTAGTTCTGTCCACAAACCTTGTTCTTGTTGTCTTTCTAATTCCCATGGAGCCCTGAAGATCATATTTCTCTGATCTGGTGATCCTCATGTAATCCACACAGTACAAGGTAGTGAAAATGCTGAAACTTTCCCACCCCTTGACCCACTTGCAGGCCATTTCTACTCTAAGGTATCCTCTGTAGCTCAGAGCTATGCTGGCACACATTTCTAGAAGAAGCCATGAAAAGTGGCAGAAGTAGCACAGATGGATCCATTATGGATCTTCTGATCCCTGAGTTGCCATCAGCCAGGCACACCATACCATACGGTCCATAAGGTACTCTAGGGTGCCAAAATGCTACAGTTGCTAAAATCTGTGATGGGGGATTCAATTCACACTGAAATGAATTCTAAGACAACAGATTCTTTGCAAACAAAGACCTATAATGTTTCTAAAATTTGATATTAATAGCTAAGGGAAATTAATTCTTGATCACTTTTCATATTATTTTGATCTTGACACCAAAAGGAAATCAATCCTGTTTGTCTGTTGGCTTTTTTTTTTTTTCCTAACTTTTCTCTGCCTGTTTTCTACCTGGCTTTCAAAGCCTTTAGTTGGCTAGCCCTACCAATGTATCTCACTCTCCACTGTCCTTCAACTGGCACCCCACGCTAGGGTCAAGCTACGATGTGCACTGTCCCAAAACCATTGCAAGCACATGCCTATGTGCTGGCCTTTGGTCCTATGGCCAACAGCTCTGGAAACAGCCTACCTTCTTCCTGTCTCTCTCCCAGACCGTTTAAGGCTCGCTTTATCCATGAACTATTCCCTGACACCTTCTCATCTTTCTTTGGCCTTTCTCACTTCCCAGTTCCTATGGCAATTATAGGCTACACTTTCAAATTTAGCCCTTGACTATAAGACCCATTACATGAGCACTATCTCCCAAATTAGACTGTAAGCTCCTAGCGAATGGGACTCATGTGAAAACTGCATTGTGTCCACAGCCTAGGGCTGAGTATATAGTCAGATCTCACTACCATTCCATAAGTCATCCAAATTGTTGTAGAACTGGATGGGATCCTGGAGATCACTTAGTCCTACCCTTCGTTTGGGGTAGGAGGAATCTGCTACCCACAATTTATTTATCAGTCTATCTGAAAATAGATGGCTATGCATTAACTAGTTTGTATTTACTGTAGATCCCACCAGGATTTAGTAGATACAGATCGCAAAGAACATCAGGTCAGGCAAACACTTCAATAACGTTCTGTTGTGTGGAACACAGGAAACGAACCTACCTGCAGCTCCAGCTGAGCAGGCAGCATTAGAGGAGAGAAAAATAGTTACATTACCAATTGGGTTGGAAGACTTCCATTCAGTTGGTCATTACCAATCTGGATAGAAAAGATGAAAAAATACATAGCCCTAATTCTTAGAATGTGTGAGAGGAAAAAACACAAGAGCTCAACTAAGACTGACCTCCAAAAGCCAAGTGCACATGGCTTTTGCTCTGACACAAGGAACCTTGTACCCAAACCAGTCACCCAATGCACTGAAGGATACGAACACAGAGCTACACTAGGCTTGTACAACCACAACCTCACTACATGTGTGGGCTTTTATTTGGGGTTGATTTTGTTTTTCCTGTAAAAAAATTAAATCTTGTAAGCATTTCTCTGGACTTAGTGAAAAATCAGAATAGCCAAAGCAGAAAAGACAGTCATGGAGCAAGAGTAAAATGCAGATTGGGAAATAATGTAGAATGATGGATTAGGAAGGTATTAACTCGTAGTTTTTTTGCCTTTCTGGTCTATAGTCATGTATGTTTCCATAGCCTTTTGAAAGAATATACATGGAGCCAAAAATATTGTATGTTTCCATCACAGGACCCTTATAAAGGCTACTTAGCCTCAGAGTGCTGACAACCTTTCAATGTTATTATATAGCTATAAATGTTTAAATGTATTTTTACAGGAAGGCATGGACTCAACTATTTTCCAAGGTCCCTTCTAGCCTATAGGCAAATAAGAAGACCAAGAGAAATATAAGCTACACGTAGGCAAATGAGAAGACCAAAAGAAACATAAGCTAGAACAATCACCTCTCTAGAAACTGTAAAGCCTGGAAAGTTTTACAAAAAAATCTCTTTCTAGCCACACATAAAGTACAATAAAAGTATATACCACTGCCATAGACAGTGGTTTAAGTACGTAGTTTTCTGGATGGAAATTGGTCAGCACATGCGCTTATCCCACAAAACCCTATTGTTCTCTACATGCATCCCCTCCAGGAACTAACTCAGACTCCCATGCTATCTGTGAGGTAAGAGGGACACACATCTGACCTGGAGGCCACGGAGACCGTGTGGCCGCATGCTCTAGAGTCGAGACACAGGCCACAGAAGTCAAACACTGACCAACTCCCGAACCTGGTGCTTAACTTCATGCTGTCCCAGGTGTGTAAACTGTACCTGCCACAGCAACATGGACAAGGGTCCCTTTGCATTGATGAGTAATGACATTTGCTAGTCTCCCCTTGGAAACTGGAGATAACCAAATTCATTTACCCAAAATTAATCTGAGAGCCATCAGTAGGCATGGATTAGAGTGGCTTCAGTGTAAATAATTACTACAGTTAAACACACTTATTTCCCCATTTCCAATCTGTGAGGTTAGGGATCCAGAGAGCTATCCTACTTGAACTATACTAGTCCAGAAGCTGCCAAAAGCCAGGCTTCTGTGTCATTACTAAATTGATGGAATCTAGAACCAGCCATTCCAGCCTGTCACAGGACACAAAGACACTGAGAAGCAGATAACACATTATTCCTAGATAAGGGGATCGAGTGTGTCGTAGGCTAGATGCACGATTTCAAAGCAGATGGTGAGTAAGTTGGGAAAACATGGCACCCAGAAAGCCAGTTGACTGGAGAAAGGGCAGCATCTCATGAGGGAGGAGCTCTGCTTCCCACTTACTCGGATACGCTTGGCTCTGCGCATGTCATCGGCCGTCAGAGTGCTCTGGGTGGGCAGCGTGCTCTCCTCGTGCTGGGGCTGCAGATGTAGGCTATGAGTTTCTGGCTCGTGTTCCAAAGAAGGCTGGGTTTCCTGTGGCAGCTGAGGGATGGGGAGAGTGGGCTGTTCTGGTTGATCCAGCCCATTCAGAGTAGCTGGCTCAGCCTCATCAAACTGCTCCTTGGTGGAAAAATGTAGCAAGTCCTGAAATTGCAATAACCAGGAATTATTTCCCCAGCTAGATAGAGACTTGCGCTAGAGAGAGTGTCAGCTAAGATTTAGAATTGCTGCTTATTTTTTAAATCTCTAGATTTAAAAAAAATATTCTCCTTCTGGGAAAACTATCCAAGATTAGGTAACTATCCACAGGATGTAAAAGTGGGAGATATTCCAGACCACTTCATGAGGAAAAGACTGAGAGGAGAACTCTTCTGGAATAAGATCATTTTAACTGTTTAAACTGATTAAACAGCATCCCCCAACAATATCTTCGGACAATTTCAACTCCTTTTTTTGGTGGCTGGCGGGGGGCGGGCGGGGGGGGAGGAGGAGGGAGAGGGAGAGACAGAATCTTAAGCAGGTTCCACGTCCAGCACAGAACCCAACATGGGACTCAAGCTCATGACCCTGAGAGATCACAATCTGAGCTGAGATTGTGACCTAAACCAAAATCAAGAGTCAGACACTTAACTGACTGAGCCACCCAGGCACCCCCCAATTTCAAATCTTGAGGGCAGCAAAGTTGGGTTTTTGTTGTAACATTCAAGAATACATTCTGGTTTTTTTGAAAACGTATTCTTCTTGCCTTCCCCCAATCATCTCTAATTAACAAGCAGCCAAGTGCACACATGGCAGGACCATCAGCCTCCAGGAGGCATTTGTATTGAAGCCTGGTGATAGTTCCAAGTCCTCGGAGCAGGCATCTAACAAGGATTTCTTCCTCCCCCAGTACCTGTGTCCCGTCATCACATTTGTCCCCATTTTCGCTGGCTATTTCCAAGCGGATAAATTTTGGAGGGCGTCCTGGCCGTCGACCAGGGCCAAATCGCCTCTTGCCTCGTCCCCTTCCTCTGCCTCTTGTTCTGGGGACAAAAGATTAGGTTATAAATATTCATGGTTACATAGTACTCCCTAACAAATATTTTCCCTCACTGGTGCTGATGAGCCCCAAATCTTGATTTCCTCTCATTCTATTACTTTTTCTGATTCTTCTTTCTACTGGGAACAATCATTTTGATAATATGCATTTTCTTTTTTTAAAAGATTTTTTTTTAAGATTTTTTTTTTTATTTTGGAGAGAGTTTTTTTGCATGCTTTTTTTTTATGAGGGGCAGGGAGAGGGACAAGCAGACTCCAGGTGTTGAGTGCAGGGTCCAATGTAGGTCTCTATCCTACCACCCAAGATCAAGAGTAGGCTGCTTAACTGACTGAACCACCCAGATGCCCTGATAATATACACTTTCTAAATATCTCATCCTTGCCAGCTATATAGCCCAGAGAGGTCTTAAATTGAGCTATTAAAAACTCAGAGCACTGGGCACCTGGGTGGCTCAGTTGTTAAGTGTCTGCCTTCGGCTCAGGTCACGATCCAGGGTCCTGGGATCGAGCCCCGCATCGGGCTCCCCGCTCAGCGGGGAGTCTGCTTCTCCCTCTCCCACTCCCCCTGCTTGCGTTCCCTCTCTCGCTGTCTCCTTCTCTGTCAAATAAATAAAATCTTTAAAAAAAAAAAACAAAACCTCAGAGCACTGACACCGTTTTGTTACTGAAAATTCTGTAAGCACAAACACATCTCTGAAATGATGTGAGAATGCAGACAGGACAGAACATGCTAAGCCTTAAGTGTGTTCCTAGAGACAAGATTCCATTCTTTCCCTCTTTTCCCCTTGCTTCACTTCCTATTCCTTCCAAGAAATGCAACTAGATTCAAAAGAACTTTCTTGTTTTGCTACAAGCTTTTGGCAGGTCAAAACAAATTTCTAACTCAATTGTTCCATAATCTGCCTAGTAAACACCAAGTAAATTTTATCTTATTTAATAGATTTCTAGCATATAAAAATTCCTCAATAAAGAAATTCAGAAAGCGTATCATTAAAATCTCTTTTAGAAGATGAATGTGAGAGGATTAAGAGCACACTTACTTGATGAACACTGAGTAATATATGGAACTGCTGAATCTTTATATTGTACACCTGAAACTAATATAACACTGTATATGAACTAATTCACATCACTGGAATTAGAAGAGAAGAGAAAAAAGATGTGTGTGAGAGATATGTATAAAATCGATCAGATCATGTTTTATTCCTCCACTTATCTGTTTAGCAACTTAACAAAAATTCTATGTTGTTCCAGAATTTTTAAGACTCTTTATCATAGAAAATTCTGAACCTAGGTAAATGTAGAACCCAATGTACATAATGAACCCAATGTACCCATTACCTGATTTCAATACTTAGCTGCTTATGGCTAATTTTATTCCACCATACACCACCCTCCCCGGGCTGTTTCCCACACACACATACCCATTAGACTATTTTGAAGTAAGTCCCAGACCATCATTTCACCTGCAAATATTTCCACAAATATGTCTCTACAATATAAGGATTCTTCTTTATATATTCCATATATATAAATTTATATGGAATATATAAATATGTGTGTGTGTGTATATATATATATGTATATACCACAATACCATTATCACACCTTAAAAATCTGATACTTGCTCAGTATTATTAAATCTAGTCAAAGGTCAAATTTTCCTAATTGTCTCAAATTTCTTTTTAATAGCCAGCCAACAAATATCTTTATATACCATGTGTCATGCACACCCCATGCTAGGCAATAAAGACAAGTCATATGTGACAGTTCTTGCCCTCAGAAGTCGAGCAGAGGCAGCAGACACACAAACCAAAAAACATCACAATATAGAAAGTGCTGGAATAGAGCCATGAACAGAGTTCTAGAGACACCTGACAGGGAGTGATTTAACTATCACTGTTCCCTCCACCCACCTCAGACATTTACTCCTATGGTCATATCCTAGACCTTGTTATCCTCGATAAGTACAGAGCCCCCCCCCTTACCACAATTCCATGCAGTGCCCACTCTCCGGCTATCTCTACCTTTCTAGCTCACACCCTCAAATACCTGGACTCAACAATCCTTGCATCTCACTACCACTTCCCATCTAGTCCTTCTGTCACCTGTTTGCAGTCCTACATCCTCTTGATGTTTTCTCTCCCTTCGTCCATGCATAAACTTCAAAGTCATCCCTATAATCACTCCCTCCTATATGCTCTTGATTGCCATCCCCACTGCTGTTCCATCACTCCTGCTGTGTCGGTGAAACCACCTCCCTGGGCAATCCCATTCCCTGGCTGCTCGGCAAGGGCATCACTGCAGCAGATGAAGCTGGACAATGACATAGATCCATGCTAACAGTCTCACTTTAACGTCATGACCATGAACCTCAAGCGAGCTCCTAACAGTATGATCGCAGGCAGTCATACTGTACTTCCCTAGAACACGGATCTTCCCACTTTGCTAAACGCCGTGTCATACCATCTCCTCTCTTTTCGAATCCAGTAAAAGATGGCAACCCTCCATCTGTCCCATTGGTGCCACCCCATTCCAAAGTACTCTCCTTCTTCACCTGAACTGTTAAAATAGCTTCCAACTGGACTCCCTGTCTTCGCTCTTCATTCAATGAAAGCAAAAGTGACATTTTAATGTTCACCCAGCATGATGTTTCAACATATAATTCACATCACAGATACTCCCTGATCCGAACCCTTTAAAGACTTCTTATTACACTTAGAATAAAATCCAAGTTTCTTACCATTACCCATAAGGCCTACCTGATCTGCTCAACACCCCCCCCAAAAAAGGATTCTCTAATGGAATGAAACCTACAATTTAGTTTGATGAAGGAATCCTACTTCTGAAAAAAGTTTGCAAATCAGAGATGCAGAGGGTATGCTATCTCAAGAATTCCCATCCCAGAATCTCTTAGAGGAGGCTTAATCAAGGGGGAAGGATCTCCTATTGCTGGGTACTCTGATTACGCTGGAAAAAAAAATCAATAGTAGATGAGGATGGGGGCGGGCAAAGGGAAATGACAGATTAGAAATTTCCCTCTGCAGCCTACCTGATTACCTGTCTACACACAGAAACACTCGTTAGCTTACTGACAATATGGAAATGAATCTGGACCTTTAACAATTAAGTTTGCGAAACCTTCTGATACCTGCTAAACACATCAAGTTTTTCATCATGGGAATTGAGATGCTGTTGCAACTGCTCCGAGCTTATAAATCGGCGGTTACATTCATAGCAGGGCCAATTCTTCTCTTGCTCACGAAGAACTGCAGTCACAGGAGAGAAATCATAATGGCTGATGATTAATAGACAGCAATAAAACTCAAATGCCCAGTATCCCCACCATTCTCATCTCATGTAGCCCGGTGCTCACAAACATAGTGTCTGCTGTTTGCATCACTGTTTTGTTAGAAAATCAAAGGCTACACTTTGACAAGAGTAGGATCTTATTTTCTTCTATATTCATGTAAGACATTGAAGGACCAAACTCTGTCATAGGACCGTCTCCCATCTCCCCAACAGACACACACACACAGTCTCACCACACTGGAAAGGCAGAAAGTGCTACAATGGAAATCTGTATTCAGATAACTTAGTGATTCTGATCCAGGGTTCATAAGCTGAAGGCCTCTTTTATCACACACACACAAAAAAACCCTTAAAAGTCAATGCCCAATATAATTACTTTAGCAAAATGTTAAAGTATCTACTGAAGTTGACCATCAGCACAACCAGTTCCAGCAATGCCACTCCTGAACGCACACCAACAAAAATACGCATGTATGTTCATTAAAAGAAAGACATGTATACAAATGTTCACAGTGGCACTCTTCAAAATAGTCCCAAACTAGAAACAACCATGTTGTATAATAAAGAATTTGGCTGGCTTTTGTCCCTGGTTCCTGGCAAACAACCTCTAAGTCTTTGGAATATCCCACATAACAAGAGTGTCGTTGTTATTCATGGTAGTCTTTGACCATACATGAGTTTCTCCTAATATGACCCAAGATGGGGGCTGCCTGGGCCAGAAAGTCAAACCATCTGATTACAGGGTTGGAACTTTAAGCCAGGTGGTATCAGCCAGGGAGAAAGAGCTGCAGAGTAAGTTCAATCATGCAGCCAATGATTCTATCAACCATGCCTATGTCATGATGCCTCAATAAAACCTCTGGACACTGAAGCTCAGAGCTTCCTGGGTTGGTAACCATACATCAATGTGCCACGGAGGTGACATGGGACATGGAAGCTTCATATTTGGGACCCACACAAACCTTGCCCTAAGCACCTCTTCATTTGGCTGGTCCTGATATGTATCCTTTAGAATAAAACTGTAATCATAAGTATAGCGCTTTTCTGAGTTCTGTGAGTCATTCTAGAAAATCAAGCCTAAGAAGGTTCTAGCTCCCTAAATTGTAGTTAGTTGGTCAGAAATGCAGGTGGCACGGGAACGCCAGAGCTTGTAGCTGGTATCTGAAGTGAAGAGTCTTGTGAAAGACTCGGCCCTTAATCTGCACAGTGTGACCTAACCCAGGTAAGTGTCAGAATTGCACTGTACACCCAGATTTTCATCTACAGTGAAACAGATGCATTAATTATGGTATAGCCATACACTAGACTACCAAATAGCAATGAGAATGAACACATTACAATAATATACAACAATATGGATAAATCTCACAAACACATCAAGCAAAAGATTCCCAGAACATACATAATTCTAGTTATATGAAGTCTGATAATGAGCATATTATATCCATGGTATTAGAAGTCAGGATATTAGTTACACCTGAGAGTGAAGAAGGCACAAGGGACTTCCAGAGTACTGGCCACGTTCTGTTTCTTGATCTGGGTACAGGTTACACAGGTGTGTTCACTTTGTGAAAATTCATCAGACTGTAGACTTACAATTTTTGCACTTTTTTGTATGTAAATTATACTTCAGTAATATTTACATTAAAAACAAAGGCAATGCCTGCCTTGCTAATGTCCTCAGAGATGATTAAATCTAGATAGAGATCGTCCTCAGGTCTAGGTTTTAATTTAGTATTTGGAGGTTTTCATTATATTAAATACTATTTTCCGGCCACCCATAAAGAAATGTAAATATGTCACTGTCATTCGATCCTAGGATTAGACAAGGATGTGTAGCTGGAAAAAAAAAAAACCTACTGGACTCTTATAAATATACTGAGATAGGAAAAAAAAAAAAAAAAAAATGATGTAATATATACAATTTAGAATTCATATAGAAAATAGAAAATAGAAAGTCCAACCACCTTTCCTTTCTTCCTCAGAAATGTCATGAATTTTCTGGTTCACAAACTCAGCATAGGATGCAGCGTACCACACCTGCAAGAACCAAGTACATCATGAAGAACTAAAGGACATCACCAAATGTTCTTTGCATGCTTACACTCTTTCTCCTGTTTACACAAAACAACTCAGGCTTTCCCGCAACCCATGAAAAACAAACAACAACAAAAAATCGCACTGCGAGCCAATCTCTTTAACACCAGATGGTCAGTCAGGAAGTGCATTTGCCAAGACACACTCACTGTGTGTTTTCTTTTTCCTTTTTAAAAAAAAATTGTTTTTGTTATTAGAACAACTTCATAAGAGATAATATTAATAGTCTCTTCATCAAAATAAAACATAGCCTCTTCTGGTTGTTTTATCTGTATGTAAACATGGCTTTTTACACAGCTGCAGTCATCATGACTTCCACCAAACAGCTCTTGCTGGGATCCCCAAGGATGATTTCAAATGCGACCGCGCCCTCCTGAGTCTCTTCCTTCCTCCTAACCCCACTGGCTACTTCTGCTCAGTCTCCTTGTCTGGCTCTCCTTCCTCTCCCTCTTCCTCTCTAAGCTTCCTCAAAGCTTAATCCAAGTCCAGGGCCTTCTTATTTTTCCCTAAAGTGATCCCATCCATTTCCAACCAATTCTAAATTAATATCTCCGTCCCAGGCTCTCCCTTTCTGTTCCCTCTACATACATTCTACTGCCTACCTGGTATTTGGCATGTTTCATAAACAGTTCAAACTTGGCATGTCCAGAGTTGAATTCTAGATGCTTCCTTATCGCATCCCTGCCCCTGCCCATATTCCTCATCTCAATCAATACCCTGCCTTTCACCCAGCTGCTCACACTTGACACCTAAAAGTTATCTCGGATTTCTCAGTGGTTTTCTGTCATCCTTCAGCAGGAGCTGTGAACTGCTCAGATGTTCTTCATCTCTGCTTCTCCCACCAAGATCCATGTCCAGATGGGCTCCTGCCTGGATCGTCTTCTAGTGAGCTTCCCCTTTTCCACTCTTGCTTCCGCCAACCCGTTCTTCACACAAGAGCAAAGAGGGCGTCTTAAAACGCAATCAGATTTCATCCTTCTCATGCTTAAACAGCTTCTCACTCATAAAAAACCTGCAATGCTCGATGATGGGCTCCAAAGGGCGCTATGATCTATTCCCGCTCTTACCATTCTCCCTTACCACCTTTCAACAAGAGAGCCTTCTTGCAGCTCCTCAAACAGGCCAAGGTCTTTCCCACCCCAACCTTTCTCCTTGCTGGTCTACCATCGGGAGTGTTGGGTTCTTCCCCTTTGCCTCTGCAAACCCTTCTACAGTGCTGGTCCCTCCCTTCCCGTTCCATAGTCCCCAGCCTCATTATTAGACAATAATATAATTATTGTCTTTATTTGGAGGAGACCATCTCAGTTTTTATTCTTTTTTTTTTTAAGATTTTATTTATTTATTTGAGAGACAGAGAGAGCAAGCAGGGGGGTGGGGAGCAGAGGGAGGGAGACAAGCAGCAAGGCCTTCCCTCTCCAGCATTTGTAAACTGGTCCCTTTCCTGCTACCTGCTCTTTTTGCACCATTTATTTCCTTCATGGCATTTAACCACTATTTATTACAGTTGACCCTTGAACGACAGAGGTTTGAACTGCATGGGTCCGCTTACACGCAGATTTTTTTTAGTACAGTATCGTAAACGCACTTTCTCTTCCTTATGATTGTATTAACATCTTCCTTATTCTGGTTTACTTTATTGTAAGAATACAGTATATAATGCATACAACATATGAAATCTGTGTTAATCAACTGTTTATGTTATTGGTAAGGCTTCCAATCAGTGGTAGGCTATTAACGGTTAACTTTTTAAGAGTCAAAAGTTACATGTAGATTTTCAACAGCCCAAGGGGTCGGTGCCCCTAATCTCTGTTTTGTTCAAGCGTCAACTGTATTTGCTTACTTACATCCTTCTGCCCACTTCCCCTCTAGAATACAAGCTCCCTGAACACAAACACCAGTCTATCTTTTCCTAGTGTCTGAAACACAGTAGGAGTTCAATATGTTAATCACTAAATGAATTAATCGTGTATAATTATTATGGAACACTATTTTAACTATAAGTAAATATTTATATTGAGACTCCATTTTTAAGTGTGGAATAATATTCTATGACAGAGTCTATGTTCTATAATTTACTTGACCATGACCTATAGTTGGATTTTGAGATAGTTTATCATTTTGCTTATAAATTCTTCCCTAGTCCATCAATTCCAAAATGTATATTTTTCATATTTTAGCATCTCAAAAACCACCTCCACGGCATTCTGCAATCACTCTTGTGATGTAGCTTTCTTTTACTTGTTGCTCATTGCTCCTGCACAAACCCAGCCAAGCTCTTTGCATTGCTCTCATCTCATTCAGTTATCTGTCGCTCTGGCACTCCATGACTTGTTAACACTTGACAAGCAACGCAAAAGAAAGCCAAAAAAAAAACAAAAAAAAAAAAGCCATTTCCTCAGAATTAAAAATATATATATATCTAAGGAATACAAGGCTGGTGTGATCACCTTGTAGGACCTCTGTTAATACATCAAACATCAAATTGTCAGGAAACTTCCTACTGACTTAATCAAAAGTCACTTAACTTCCAAAGACATGTTTTAATTGAGAAAAAAGACACATATGGGTTCAGTCAGTGGGAAAACACAGGGTCAAAACTTGTACAGAAACGCCATCAAGTCATTTGGAAAAATACCCCACAGGCAACAGTGGATCACTTATTTTAAAAATAATACAGGATCATCAATATCTTGATGGCATAGAAGACGAGAGATGTACAAAACACAAATGACAAAGTAAAACGGTGATTCAGTTTAAAAAAAAAAAAAAGACTGTACACAAGGCAGTTTATATGTCAGCCAATTTATTTTGCTTATATTTGCCTTTTTAAGTATGCAGAAATGTGATAGGATTTCAAAACTATCTCTAAATAAGTCTAACACAGCTCCTGTAGTTAGTAGAAAACTACTCTTTTTGGTGATAAAAATAAGCACTATAACCTTAGCTTAAATAGCAGCATATTTTTTCTTAATGGTGTATAAAATAATGTTTTATCTTAAAGTCACTGGTGTTTGAATCAGCGAAACACAGCATTACAAAATTAGAATGTATCTAGCTCTATCTTTGTTAATAATTATTTCCTCAGACTAATTTTCAAGGATTAGGTTTATTCAGCCATGAACATTTTTACTATACACTGCCAGAAATATTCTATAAAATACTGCAATTCTGTGACAAATGTCCCTATATTTTAAACGCTCACATTCACTGTACTGCATCCATTTATTTTTGGTAATTTAAATTAACAAAAATAGTAACTCATAGTTGTTTTAAGGGTTTTAAAATTATTAACATTGGAAAAAATTTTGACCTTTCCTTTACTATTGATTTCTCCTCCAAATAAAGTCTATCCCCAGTATTCATGTGTCCATGTGGATACCAGAGAGGTTAGAGGTATTTTCTCTCAGTTTTCATTCTTGTTTTCTTTTTAAAGATTTATTTACTTATTTGAGGGAGGTAGGGGCAGAGGGAGAGTGGAGAGAGAATCTCAAGCAGACTCCCCACCGAGCACAGAGCCAGACATGAGGCTTGATCCCACAACCCCTAGATCACAACCTGAGCCAAAGTCAGACACCCAACCCGACCATCTCAGTTTTTATTCTTTTTTTTTTTAAGATTTTATTTATTTATTTGAGAGACAGAGAGAGCAAGCAGGGGGGTGGGGAGCAGAGGGAGGGAGACAAGCAGACCCCGTGCTCAGCACGGAGCCTGATATGGGGCTTGATCTCAGGACCCAGAGATCATGATCTGAGCTGAAATCAAGAGTCAGAGGCTCAACTGACTGAGTCACCCAGGTGCCCCTCAGTTTTTATTTTTATTTGTTAATTTTTTTTAAAGATTGTATTTATTATTTGACAGAGAGAGAGACAGCGAGATTTTTTTTACAAGTAGGGGGAGTGGGAGAGGGAGAAGCAGGCTTCCCGCTGAGCATGGAGCCCAATGCAGGGCTTGATCCCAGGACCCTAGGATCATGACCTGAGCCAAGGCAGCCACTTAACCGACTGAGCCACCCAGGTGCCCCTCAGTTTTTATTTTTATTTTTATTTTTTTTATTTTTTTTATTTTTTATTTTTTTTTTTTTAAGATTTTATTTATTTATTTGAGAGAGAGAGAGAGAGTTTTTTTTTTTTTGAGGGGAGAGGGTCAGAGGGAGAAGCAGGGTCCCCGCTGAGCCAGGAGCCTGATATGGGACTCGATCCCAGGACTCCGGGATCATGACCTGAGCCGAAGGCAGTCGCTTAACCAACTGAGCCACCCAGGCGCCCCCAGTTTTTATTTTTAAACCTTTTAACATGTATTACAAAGATTTCTCCCACTCTGTTGCTTCCTTTTCATCTAGCGTTTTGGTTGTTCATTACACTAAACTATTATATTCTTATTTGTTTCTGCCTGTCTTTACCTCTACAGTCCTATCTACTCCTTAGGAGAGAACATAATCTCCCCTCCACAGTCAAGAAGTACTCACGTGGATATCAAGAATTTATTGGGATAGATGATGTGAGATATGAATCTCCTTCTACAAAGATACAGGTTTTGTATAGCTTTTGAACAAAGTCTAGGTCTTTGTTCTCCCCCAAAGAGGTATCTATTTGTCACTTTTACCACATTGCAGCATTGTGCGATTCAGTGTTCATGTACTGATTAAATTATTTCTCACCTCTTTTTTATCTAATCAGGAATTTTCCCTTAGAATTACAACAGAATTTTAATTGTGTCATCAAAAGTTAATATTAGACAAATTCCTACAGAGTTATCCCCAAAGAATATATTTCTGAAATCAGAAGTCAGTGCATAGAATTCTTAGGGTAAAATGAAGCATTCAGGTAAAGGAATCTAACTGGTACATCTAAATTCCATTTTATAAGATCTCCTGTTTCCAACTAATTCTTCTTCAGAGTGTGTAAATAACGTTAAGTGACCTCAACTTTAATCACTCCATCACAAATGCCAGTCTGCTCCCTAAACACATCTACTTCTTTACCCCTGGGCTGAATGCCTTAGTGCAGGCCTTTGACAAACCCAAAAGTCATGTACTTTTCATTGCTTTTTTATGGGATTATTGTAAATGTACTGTACATAGCAGGTACTCAATAAGTAAGTGAATTATAAGGAAAGGACCATTTTTGTAAGAACCCCCCCTTCCGAGAAAAAAAGAATAATAAAGGCATTTAATGGTCACTTTTCCTAATAAAGGTACCACTGAACCAGCACTGTACCTTCAGTTCTTGTTTGGGTTCTACATTCTTTATTGTGGTGTAATACACATGGTGGCCATATTGGTAAGCCACCAGGTTCTGCTCCAGGTGATTCTGGGCTGGACGTACAAACATCATCCAGTTACAAAGGGTCTCATCAGATAATTCAAACCACAGGTCTTCATGCAAATCTCGGTCTTTTCTGTCCCCTTTATCAAGAGAAACCTACAACCAAAGAGAAAGTAAAAAGCCACACCAAAAAACAAAATAAAAACAAACAAAACTTTTAATATGATATACATTAATGTAGTAATATACAAAATACCACTCCTGAAATTAACCATATATCCTGATTCTTCCTTTTATATCTAGAAAGATCCAGGAATTGTGTCTTGCCAAGTGTAAAAGGAAAAGGCCACTTTTTGAAGACTCACTTGGAGCAGAATCACCTGGCAAAATGTTCAAGTTAACAATCTCATCGTACAGCTTCAGCTGATGCTTCATCATTAACCAACACATCAAAAAATACTATAAATAAGCCAGGAAATACAAGCAAAATACTCTCTAGTTCCTCACAAGTTGCTTACTTCAGGGATTCAACTGCATTAATAACAAGTAGCCTTGTGATACGTATTTCTCTTTACAAAGTAATAATCTTTCTTGAAGATCTTGAGCATTCACCGAAGAAAACCTCCCCATGACAGCAAATGACTTCTCAACAACACACCCCAAATATTCTCCCTTCCCGCTGCCCTTTCTTGGTTCTCCAGGGTAGCTTTCCAAGAAGCAGACAGCACAGGGGTTGGATAGAAGCAAAAGCCTCAAATGTAAAGAAGAGAGATCAGTATAAATATACTTTAACATACAGTGAACTATTCTTTAACAAAAGACTCAACAGAACAGACCTGTTTCAAAAACTGAAAAGGGGTTTCCTGAAAACTTTTTTGGTACTTAGCAGATTACACGAGTCTGCATTTGAAGAAGAAGAGAAAAAGTTGTCAAAGCCCCTATTATGGACCGTTGTGCCCTCACCAAATTCATACGTTAAAGTCCTAACCCCTCAGTATGTGACTATGTTTGGAGATACGGCTTTTAAGGCAGGAACTAAGTTCAAAGAAGTAATTAAGTCATCAGCGTGGGTCCTAACCCAATCTGACCGGTGTCCTTACAAGAAAAGGAGATCAGGACACAGGGAGAGACACCAAGGATGGGTGCACACATAGAGTAAAGGCATGAGGACACAGAGAGGAGACCGTGTGCAAGCCAAGGAGCAAGGCCTCAGGGGAAACCAACCCTGCTGGCACTTTGTTGGCCTTCCAGCTCGGGTGCTGTGAGAAAATAAATTTCTGTTCTTTAAGCTCCCCCAGTCTGTGGTATTTGTTACAGCAGCTCTAGCAGACTAATATAGCCCCTACAAACAACAGCTCTCAGAATTACTCATAGAATGCCTTAGGGGACTGAGACTGCAATCTCCAATTTATTGGTGAGAGAGAAAATGTTTCCATTCAAAACAAATTAAGCAGAAAAAACAAAAATAAAAAATAAAACAAAGCAGAGAAAGAAAAATACTAGCAAACAACAGTTATAGAATTGAATTAAGAGAACCAGTAGGAAAACACACACCCCTTTAAAAGTTATTAAGAACAAGAGTGAACTATGATAAAGCCTAAGTTACCTTCAGATGAATGTAACAGTCTTTCAGCTCAGACTCCCTGACGAGGGGTCCCTCCACAGGGCCAAACTGGGTGCGCTTAGGAATGCGCCTTTTGGAGAACACCCCTCCGAGGAACCTGTCGATGTAGAGGACCAGGGGGAGGCTTGCTCTCGCTCTAGTGAGCACAGGCCGGTTAGGGATGGGATGCAAGGGGCCATGCTTTGGGCACACTGAAGAATGTGCATTATTACACTCCTCACACCCTGCAAAAGAAAGAAAATCTTAAAGTCAAATTCTTCAACATCACTTGATCTCAGGTACAAAGTTCTAACCTGAAAAATCCCCAAATTCCAAAATTCAGTAAACTCCTACAATTACACTATTCATTCCGTTGTAACACGCTAGCTTTCATAGACCAGTAAAATCCCATCTTCTTCCTCTAAAATGAGGCAAAATTAGCTTGTGCCTGCCAAAAATAATACACAGGCAGTGACTTATTTCTCTACTGGAGATTAAGTCAAATAGTAGCCCAGTAAATTTACAAATCAATTATAACAGGTCTGAAAAGAAAAAAGAAGAGCTTATTAGGATAAATGCTGCAAAATCTGATAAGACAAATAGAGTATTTGAATTTTAGAGTATGTAAATTATATCTCAGGAAAGCAATTTAAAAAAACTCTGACAGGGCGCCTGGGTGGCTCAGTCAGTTAAGCGACTGCCTTCGGCTCAGGTCATGATCCTGGAGTCCCGGGATTGAGTCCCGCATCGGGCTCCCTGCTCGGCAGGGAGTCTGCTTCTCCCTCTGACCCTCCCCCCTCTCAGGTGCGCGCTCTCTCTCTCTCCCTCTCATTCTCAGTCTCTCAAAATAAATAAATAAATCTTAAAAAAAATAAAAAAATTAAAAAACTCTGACAATACCATTTAATCAGTTTCTTCAAAAGGAGTCATAGAAGCCTCATTGTCTAGGCATGTCTAACTCAAAGAGAAAAAGCACTGTACAGCTTGAGACTTCAACGCATATCCTGTGAAGGTAATGCTAAAATGAATGAATTTAGCATTCTATCCTTCATTGTCTTGAATGTCACAGCTTAGCCCAGACAGGACCCATTTTCAGCTCCTTCCAGGAGTCATTACTGTGCACTAAGCATCCACACTCACCCCCTCTTTCCCAGCAGCACCTATCCCGTAAACTAACCGCCAGAACTTGACGGAAATGGCCACAAAACAGAGAAAAGTGCCTGGACCCCAGAGGCATCATACTCATGACCTTTAACACATTTAATTAGCCAACTGTATTTTACCCAACTCCAGCTGGGTGATGACCCGGCTTAGGAAATGGGTACTTCCAATTTCTACAATTCTCCAATAATGGAGAGCTACTTTGTATTACTATTTGTAAGATAAAGTCACTGTATGCGTAGTTGACTAAGGAGTTGCTGTGAAAACTCATGAATTCAAGGAAAAATAAAATGAGCAAGTTCTCTATTGCACATGGAGGTGAGTGCTGGCCCCATGCAAACAGGCTTCACCATCACCACACAGAAGGTCCCAGGAGATACGGTGAGACCACAAAGCTCCAAACAGCCTCAGTAACTCAAATAAACAAGATAAGCACTTTGCCATATAAGCATGAAAATCGATGGAAAGAAGCGATAATTTGGTAGGTGGAAGCAGGAACCCTCCCACCCTCTCCCAAAGCAGACAGTCCAGAGAGACAGCAAGTGTTGTGGTTACCCAGGCGCACACGGGAGCCAGACCAGCTCAGTTTGAACCCTGACTGTCAAAACAACGGAACACTACCAACCCTAAGACCATGGAAAGCATTAAGCAATTTAGAAAATGTAAAGCACGGGTGCCTGGAACATAATAGGCATGTTTAAAAGGTTGCTATGGGGGCACCTGGGTGGCTCAGTCGTTAAGCGTCTGCCTTCGGCTCAGGTCATGATCCCAGGGTCCTGGGATCGAGTCCCACATCGGGCCCCCCGCTCGGCGGGGAGCCTGCTTCTCCCTCTCCCACTCCCCCTGCTTGTGTTTCCTCTCTCGCTGTGTCTCTCTCTGTCAAATAAATAAAATCTTAAAAATAAAAATAAAAGGTTGCTATGAAGAGAGAGGTAAGGCAGCTGAGCCAACTTGTTAAAGCTGAAACGGCAGAATATTCCAGGAATATTCCAGGACCGGAGCAACTTCCCATAGTGGCTTGAGAAGCTCAAGCCCTGGTGTCAAGAGACAGGCTCCGTGCCTGAGCCATCACTCACCCCCGTGTGACACGGAGCAGGCGGCTCAGCCTCTCCTGACCTTTGGTTCATCTACCAGTAAAATCAGAACCCTCACGAAAGCATCAGGGCCTCCCTCACAGGCTGTGGTGAGGACCGAGCAAGATGGCGCGTGCAGAGCGGGGAGCACTGGGGCTGCACACGGGAAGCCCCCATCAAATGTTAACTGCGCTCCCGTGCTCACACACGCTCACGAGGACCAGCTCGTACTTACATAAGTCATGCGGGTCGAAGGGCCGAGGGGGATCTGGTTCCCAGTCATCCAGGTCCGTGTCTTCACCATCTTCCTCCTCCTCCTCCTCAGTATCTTCCTCCTCATCGTCATCCTCCTCCTCCTTGGCCTCCAGCCTACCCATAGGGTTCTGCAGAGAGGCCAAAGGGTCCGAACCATCCACAGCCTCAATTGAAGGTAACACCTGGTTATGCACCGGTAACGAGGCCTGGACAAAGTTTAACCATAACATTAGCACACGGTTGCTTTCAGTTAGCTGGTACACACACACACATACACACACACACCCAATACAAGGTTTTGGTGGAAGACAGTCTTCACATCAGCTCCCTTCAAGATCCTGAAGAAGAAATTAGTTCCATCTCAAGGCTGTAATGGATCTGCCTTCATTTTTGCTGTTTCTGCCCCACAGCTGCGAAAGCTGATAAGAAAGCCTGGGTGCTCCCTACTTTGGTGCATGCCCTGTCTCCCCAGAGACTTCAAATACATAGTAAACCTTTCCATACCCTCTCGGTGCATGTGTGGTATTGTGTCTCAACATCTGAACCCAATTTCGAGTCGGGGCAGGGAGGGGCCCTCCTGCCTTTTCAGGGTGACCACAACACAGTGTACGTAATGATCTGACCTATCTTTAACTACTTCACTTTTAAAACTACACACGTGGTACAACACCCAGTTGGTAAAATTCATGGTTAACAACCCTCCTTTTACACACTTCAGAGAGGCTAAGGTTTTTAAGTAAAGTGAAAGAGATGCTTATTCGTTTCAGGCTATAGTTAGTCTTTTGCAAATAAGACAAGGTGTGGAGCATATATTGGGTTACTCCTACCATATCAAATATACGAGCAAAAAATAAATGGCACCTTAAAAAGTTCCCTACCCGAAGAAGTGTCACGGGGTTCTATGGGACCCCAGATTCCTTTATCCAATCTTATTTCTCCCGCCCAATTAGCACCATAAATCATATTGAAGCCATGTCCCTTTCCTGTTCAATAAATAAAGCAAGTTTTTTTAAATGCCTACTCCAGTTTTCTTTATCTTCTCCTATGTTACAGTTTTTTTTCCTAGAATCTTCTTCCCTCGCCAATCTTCCAATCGCCTGGTCGTGTTCCAGTTTCTCCACGAACCATCCCTGACCACTCTAGGCCTCCCTGACTCTCCTATGCTTTGACCCCTGTAGCATCTGGAGTCCGGAATCCTGCTCCACAACATCATTCAGCCTCTGCTCCAACATTTCATCACCTCACCAGACAGCCCGAATCATTTGGGATCGTTCAGTGACAGTTCTGTGGGGTCAAGGTCTCCCTATGTGCATCTTCATGCAGTGGGCAGGACCTGCACCTTCCCCCTCTAGGGAGACAGAATCCGTGAAGACACCAAAGTCTCCAAATATTTCAAGACCAAAACCCCTAATTCGTTCAATCATTTTTCACACGGCCCAATTTCCATATCCCTCATCATCCTGTTGTCTTTGTTTATTCCTTAATGGATTCCATATTTTTTAATGAATATGGCTTCAGATTACATTAGCTTTTGTGACAGCCATTGTTCTACTGCTAACCCAGTTTCAACTGGCAAATAACTAAAGTCCCTGAGTCCTTTTTCCTCTCACATCGTGCTATTAAACCATTTTACTCCACCTCCTGTCTTAAACAGCTGATTTTTTACTTAAATGTGTGTGTGTGTGTGTGTGGAGGGTTACGGGATTTTGCATTTATCACCAGTATATTTCATTTTATCACTTGTTCTGTTCTTCCAATCTGCCAAGATCTTTCAGAGTCTTGATTCTGACATATCACATATTAACTATCCCTCACAGCTTTGTATCCGTTGCCAAACGCCATCTAGATTTCAATTAGTATGCATTTTCCTGTGAGCCTTCTTGCCTGGCCAACTGTACCTCAAGGAAGTAGACCAGGGGCTTTGAAGCCAAACAGACTTGGATCAAAATCCTGGTCCCACCACTTGGCAAGTTAATAAACTTCTCTGAATCTCAGTTTTTTTATCTGTAAAATGGACACAGTAATACATACGGCATCAGTTGCTCTGAGGATTAAGTGACACAGTATGTACGTGAGGCCAGTAGTAGAGTATCTGGCATTTAGTAAGTGCTTAATATTAGTAATAATCGATTACTATTATCATAAGTTCTTTAAGGACCAAGATATCACATATGTCCTCTACAACCTTACAAGACAGCTGAGCACGTGGCAGGGATTCAGTGAAGATTCATTTGTAGAAATATGTTTGGCCCTTTAGGAAATGACATCAATCCCTTCAGGCGTGTAAAAGAACTCTCCTGTATTCACAGAAAACCCTTTTTCAGTTGTGCTTCTAAGAACTTCTTAAACTCCATGAAGAAAGAGCATTGTGTGTCTTTACAGAATCTGACCTGCCCAGCAGCTGAAGACCACTGCCCGACATCGGAAATGCTCAGAGAGCGGCTAGAACCAGTTACCTCAAAATAGCATGCGCGTGTCTAAACATGCATCCATTTAACCCGGAGCCAGACTCCTATGTGACATTCTGTCTCTGGCTCAGGGCCTTTTAGAGGCTTTATATAAGAGGACAAAATTCTGGGAGATGCTTCAGCATCAATAAAAATAGAACAAAATACCCACGGAAGTGAGACTCAACAAGGAAAAGAGCAGGAGACTTCTGGCAATGAAACCTCAGGTGCCACTGCGCCCCCCCCCACCCTGCACCCTCACCTGATCCTGCCACTAAGCTATTCTTGCTGTCTCAGAGCACCGTTCTGTTCTCACCCCTTCAATCTAAGCCACTTAAATTTCAGACCAGTGTTCGTGATGAATGTTATCACACACTGAACAAACTAAAGCATATATATCCACCTCGACTCCTCATACATTCTTTATCACTTTGCGGAGCCAACCAAGAAGAATGAATTCAGTAATCCAGAGGCATCCCAGTGAGGCTGTGATGTATTTTTTTTTCCCAACAGATGCTGCTAGAAAGACTGCGGTTAGACTAGGTTACTGCTGGCTTCCCGCCGCTGCTGAGAAAGCTGACGTTGAAACAGTACCAACAACCCCCTCCTTCCCCATGCTGGAGCTCTCCTAAAAGGCTGTAGCAAAGACAAGGCTTGAAACACTTCAGCATTATCTTGAAGAACTGATGCTAAAGCAGAGGTTGCGTGTAGACCAGAACCACGTGAGCTACCATTAGAAAGGGATAAAGGGGTTTATGATAATCACGTCTAGGTAACCACTGTGTATTTCAAGGTAGCACAGACCTTAACACACAGTAGGCACGCCTCACACATTTGTTTAATTAACAATTCCAATTCGACTGACATTTCTGGAGAGCAAGGCATGTACTGAAATTCCTTTGAGGCCAGGTAACACTGCCACACAGCTCCTAAGTGACAGAGATGAAATTCAAATTCTGACTCTGCCCTGCCTTTTCCACTACATCACAACGGCCCCTATGGAGTTAAGTCTGTTCAAGGAGGGCACAGAGGAGATAAACATCACACACACACGCCTTGAATACCAGAGCAACAAGGTAACCACACCTGCTCCTGAGGCACCAGCCGGGCAGTAAGAAGGTGAGCTACCTGTGCCAATTTCACTTAGAGGAAGTGAAGAGGCAACAAAAATGTTAATCTTGTGTCCTTTGTCATGCACAATAAAACACGGCAAAAGGAAAAAGAATTTGTTAAACTTATGGTACACTTTCTCCTTCCCACTTAATATCACTCTCTGTAATTATTTCTGAAATTACATAATGCATTGCAGGATACAATTTAACTGAGAAGTGAAATATGAAACTACATTGGACAGCAGCAAACACAACAGAATGCTTCTGGATTCCTACTGAGACCAATTATCAGTGTAGCATATTTCCTTCTCAGTGTGTGGGGAGTCACACATGTTCACTCTCAGAAACAAAGGGGAGACTGTGCTTCTAGGGCTGGAGACTGCCGGTGCCTTTCTTAAGAACAAGGGAATGCATATAGGAAAAAGGCTTCAAATGCATTTTGCCACCACTATAAACAACTGAAAATGGAACCTTTTAGCTTAGGGCGGGGTCGGGGGTGGGGAGGAGAAACACCCATCATCTGTGTTGAACTCTCACGCTTTCTGTCCAGAATTTTTCCAGGTCACAGAACACCCTGACAATCTTGGAGGTATTTATTGTAGCCAGAAATAAAAACCGTGCTGGTTGAAAGGAAACAGCAGTAAGGTAATACTAAGCCAATAGTTACAACTGCCTTGTAATGCCAGGGTTCATAGAGCTATCTGACTACAAAACATGAAACAAGCAGATTGTTTCTGGAGATTAAAGAAGATGAAGAGCTCTTTGAGGTGCTAGGGCAGCAAAAGTTCTAATTAAAGCCATGCCTTAATATTAAAACAACAAAATGCCATTTTGCCTATCAGATTGGCCAGGTTTTAAAAGAATGCAAATAGTGTGGCAAGGGTGAGTGGAAATAGGCATTCTCATGTATTGTTGGTGGGAATGTAAATTTTTTCAGCATCTGAAAAGCCATTTAGAAAGTCTTATCAAAATAACTTTCCCCTTTATAATAACACATTTCAAACATGTATCAATCAGAGAGAATAGTATAATAAACCTCATGTACCCATCACTCAGCTTCGATAATTATCAACTCACGGCTAACCTTATGTCAACTATTCTCCCACCCACTCTCCCCCTCACTAGATTATTTTGAAAAAAACCTCAGACATATATTTTCATCCGTAGATGGCTTAGTAGATGTCAAAAAAAGAAAAGAACTTACATATTTTACGTATTACCATATCTAAAAAAACCAATCATTCTTTAGTATCATCAAATATCTAGTAGGTGTTAGAATTTCCCCAATTGTCTCATACTGCTGTTTTTAACAGTTAGTTTGTTGAAATGAGGCCCCAAACAAGGTCCACAAATTGCATCTGACTAACATGTCTGTGAAGTCTCCTTGAATCTGTAAATTCCCATTCCGTTTCTTCCCCGTCACAATTTACATGTGGAAGAAACTAGGCCACCTGTCCTACAGATCTTCCCACAGTCAGACTTTGCAGATTGCATCCTTGTGTGTCTTTTACTTTTTCCATTCTGTCTACTGTGCTTCCTGTAAGCTGCAGGCGGAATCTGGAGACTCAATCAGATTCAGGTTCAGTTTTTTGGGAGGAATATTTCATATGTGGTAAAATGCAATAGGAGGTACACAACACCAGGAGG